GGGGGGGGGGGGGGATCCTAGCTATATGAAACTTGCATGTGATTGTTTAGGATTCTAAACATTCAGGTGTCCTTCTAAGTGCATATTTTCCTTTTATTGGTTCGTCAGTGGTCTGTTAATCATCATCTCTAGACCGTTTTTTGTTCATTAAACCTGTTTGGCCATCCAACTAGGTTGTTTTCACAAATAATATATAAAAAAATAACAAACACCAGTCGATCTCATGCATTCTAGTGTGAAACAAGTGCTGAACTATAGCCTTGCCAATGCAATATACACATCGTAGCTGACAAACAACAATGGGGTTAAGATTGGACTGTACATTTTCATATATGTGCCTACATGTTACTGCAGTACAATTAAACCAAAGATTTTATGAGAACATGTGCATGCGTAAACATAGTGCCACACAACTGACCAACGGGGGAAATAATACAAGACATGTGCAGGGTATCAAGAAAGTCCCGTAACACTTAGGCTGTGTATCAGAATAATGTACAGCTGTGTTTTGTTCTAATTCTGTACAATCAGATACAGAATGCCAGTGCTTTCATTTGTATTTGTATTTTGCGAGAATTTCAAGACTACCCTGCACATGTCTTGTATTATTTTCAATGTTCAAATAAAATACACAAAAACTGCTATTTGTAAAATTTATGTCAAGGTGGGCTTATTGTGAGATAATATGCACTTACAAGGTCAAGGTGAAGCTTTTTGTAAAGGTTATTATTATTATTATTATTATTACCTCCGCCAGCAAAATTATGTCTTGGTTCTGTCTGCCCGTCTGTCTGTCAGCATAATTGTGAAAAAAATTGTGAACGGACTTTTGTGCAAATTTCAGAAACCGTCGGGACTCGGGAGGTTACCAAGTAACGAACGATCAATCATTGGTGGTGGTTAAACTTATTAAGTCTGTCTGCCTCTTTAGTTGTCTGTTAGAAACATTACAAAAGAAGTCATGGATGGATTTTCGTGAAATTTTCAGGCTGGGTCGGAAATGGGCTAGATTTTGGAGATTATCTAATAATCATTATTAAGCGAATAATGAGAACTGAGCTGATAAGTTAGTTAATTAATAAATTATAATAATAATTATAATTATATAATAATTATTTATCAATTATTAGGGAGCGATTGCCTTGGCGGAGGTCTTAGGTAAGCTTTCTACTTAATACTAACTTAATTAGTCTATGACATTATAGCCGAGGTCATTGGCCATCGGAATTGGCATAGGATCAGAAAATCGCTTTTCAAAGTAATTTTCCGATCGCGCTTGATCCTTGCTTTGATAAACAATATATGCATGCAAGTTCATGTCAGGACTTCATCTTAGAAAAGAATATAAAGAAATAAAAATCAGAATCAATTAGTCTCTGGAAAAGAAGTCCAAAATTTCATCTTTTTAAAGTCAAAACTATGTTTTGCGTTGGCTACAAAATGAACATCTGAAACCCGTTTGAAAAATTGGAACTACCATACAAAGATTGAATTTTTTTCTCGATGAATACTGCTTTATATCCATTTTCGCGATATTGTGTTTTGGGCATCAACAATTCCCGCCGAGTCGAGGCCGACTTCTCGCTATCCATGTGCAAAGCATGGTCCATCCAACACGGTCTTTACTCAACAGGATTGTTCTCTGCATTGCAGTTCACCTGTTGCCTCCCTCACTTCCAGCCGTCTGGCCTTTGGTCAGCCTTTTTCTGGTATACCCTCAACGAACCCCGTCATCATCATCAGGGGTTTATTACATTTTACCCTTAACACGTGTCCAAAGTAATCCATATTCATTTTTCTCATTTTGGAGCTAAATCTTCAATGGCATATGTGTATTTTTTTCAAATGGTTCGGGCTCGGGGAATTATACAATATGGTCCAGAAATCAACTATAAAAACAAGTATGTTTGAGAAGAAAAATCCTTTTTTGCGGGGGTAAGGCTTGCCAATATACATTAAAGACAGGAAATCGATTTTTTGGCCAGTGTCGTAATTTGTCCGATTCTTAGACCCCATTCCCATAGATTTTAGATCGATCTATCCCTGTGGGGAGTCTCACTAGATCACTGTCAGCTTAGCCGGCTTAAGCGTCTGTCCCGCCTACTGAAAGCTGTAAGGGGGTAATTAACTATGGTGCGCGCTCGGCTGACTGCAATTTAGCGTGAACCCCCAGGGAGTTAGGTCGATCTAAATCTAAATCTCTGGATAGATCTAAATCTCTGGGAATGCACCCTTACAGACACCGTCTCTTTTAATTGAACTGCTGTATACGATCTCTGAAGTGATGCATACACATAGCATTGTTGTACACCATTTGCACTTATGTTATGTCATATATGCATTGGGGCGTATGTGTTACACAGAAAAACACCGTGTGGTCTGGTTGCTAATATCACCATCCTGTAACCTCTCTTATTACTAATTTTCATGACGCGGTTTAAGTCATTAGTTTGGAGTGTACTGAAGTCTACAATTTAAAAATATTTTTGTAGATTTATATAACCTTTTCTTTGAATACGGATTACCATCAGAAATGCGCCGTGTGCATGAACTAAATATCCCTGAATGCATTACTAACAAGTTAATGCCCTGATACGATACGATGGCAGTTCTGACGTTATGTATTTGCTCTAGAATATATACTGCGAATAAAATGCCATGCTTTTATCTGACGCCTAGCTATATGTTCAGCATTGTGCACATTTTTGCATTTTCTTCACCCTTCTTTCATAGGTTAAGTCACAAGAAACAGCAATTAGTGAAAGGTTAGTTATTGGGAATCAGTGATTCTTACGGGAGTGGTTCTTATATTTTAGAGGAACCTGACAGAAATGTAAATTGGTTTCCTGTTTGATCATTTCTGTAGGGTTTTATTACTTGATTTGAAAACGTCCATTAACTAAAGCCACTTTCAGAACGGTTTACGAAATGACGCAGATCAGTCATGTAATTGGATGTATGGTGTTTTGTGCCAACATACAACATTTGTCAAAAAAGTTGTCCCACCTCCAGTTTTATGTGCTTTTATACACAAATGATCACATCACAGGTGTAAATTGTTATGAACAGTGATTTTTATTCCAGATATCATAACTGAATTGATTAATGGTACCAAAAATACAAAATGACCGTGATGACATCCATATTTTTAAAATATGTATTGAAATACCATTTATTCATATTTATGACACGTACTCCCCGATGTTTCGCTGAAATTTCCACATAGGTAAAGAAATGTCCATTAAATTGAAAAGACACCTTTAAACGTCACCAAATTTACACAGAATTAGAGTGTGCTCGTTAAAGGTCACTTGGCTAATATAGCGTGTGTGTCTACCGCGTACTGCAATTATCTCCTGCAGGCGGTCCAGCTTGCCTTCAACAAGGGTAACAATTCTGTTTTGTAGGATATTGTCCCATTCTTCATAAAGAGCTTTGCGGAGTTGGTCCAGATTATTAGGAGGAGAACCAACCTCTTGACAATCTGGACCAACTCCGCTCATCAGAAAGAATGGGACAATGTCCCACAAAACGGAATCGTTACCCTTGTTGAAGGCGAGCCACACCGCCTACAGGAGATAATTGCAGTACGTTATTAAACAAGTGGCCTTTAAACGAGCACACCTTATTGCTAATTGTGTGTAAATTGGGTGACATATTGTGGGTTTTTTTCAATGTATAATGAATATTTCTTTACTTCTGTGGAAATCACTAAAACATCGGATTTAAGAGGGAACATGTTTTAAATCATGATAAATGGCATTAAATATAGGTTTCTTCACGGTCATTCTGCATTTTCTGTACGATTATTCATGCTAGTTATGATATCTGAAATATGAATCACTATTCATAACAAATTCTGTGCTGTGATCATTTAGAAATAAAAGCACAAGAAACTGGAGGTTGGACAACCTTTTAAACCAAAGTTGTATAATAGGGGATATGTCATTTGAGAGGTCTGACATTTAAGACAATCTAAATTATGGCTCATCCTGTAATTGTTGTCACGATTATGTTTTATTGCCGGATACATTATGTACATCCCAGAAAGCGATGTGCCATGATCATTTTCAGGCACCAAATTACCGATCCACTGTTACCACCGTTGCGCCAGACAGTTACTTAATGTTTGAGCTGATCGAATTAAGAGCAATAGCAACAAGTATTTTCGAGAAGAAATATGTTTCATTTATCTTTTTTATTCATTTAACGGCTTCATAATGAAGTGACAAAATAAAATGCATTGGTACAAGACGGTATTTGTACTTTTTTCTTTTTTTTTTCTTTTGAAAAAGAAAAACAACCTTGCCCTATGTTCAAGAAGTATATATGTATTGATGAGGCAGTGCATGGTTAGAACAGTGTGAACACAACCTAAGAACCCAACCTAAGCCGGATTACAGCTTCCTCGGTTAATAAAGGAGTTCCTGTGAATATATCTACCTTTCGCAATTAACATCGATCTGCGCGTCAGACTGTCAGTGTGCTATAAGTTTGTGACGATTTGCGCATGTTCTTTGAGGTGGTCAAATATCCCATGTTTGATTGTGCAATTTTCATGACGCATTGGCAGCTGAAACTGTAATTAGACGAACTTAAGGAGACGTTAAATTAACAGGCGAGAGGCGGAGATGGTTCAGATGGCGTTAAATTCCTAGACTGCAACAGAGTAACGAAGGCAGATTATATCAAGGATAGGCAAAATGGTATTATGTTTGTATCGGTCATCTCTTACCTACGCTGACCCCAGATTATACATGTAAGCAGCTCACAAACTTTGATCGCAGTGGATTTCAAAACCCAAGGTATGTTTTCCTTAGCCAATACATTTTGTAGCCATTTATAAGTAGTATAATTTGTTGAACTGTATAAATACTATAAGCTTGAATATGAGTTTTATTCTTTATTTCAACAATTCGATTTTGTCACGCAGATATTCCTTGTTAATGCAGAAATTGAAAAAGTCAGCTGTAGATCATGCAATCAAATATTTCCAATTGAACGATTTCATATTGAACAAAACTGTGCTTTAATTAATAGTGGTATTCGACAACCATTAGAGATGTTTTCAGTTGAGGTAATTACTCGATCTTTTCAATGGGAGAAAATTGTGAATTTTACAGATCTTTTATTTTTTAAAGTCATTTCTTTAAATTACAGCTAATTAGAAATTTAAAAAAATAAGAAGCAGGCTACTCTATAGTTTTAGTCTATGCAGTGAAAGCTCCACAAATGCCAAACAGAGACATATGTTTGTGATAACAAAATTAAGAATCTGAAAGGTTGACGAGTTTTGCCCGACCTGAAGATCGAGTACTTACTGTATATATCTCTCTTAAAGTAATGAAGTTTGTCACTTTCAGTTTCTCAAATGTAGCGATTTTTAAATGACCAGTCCAATATATGGTCATCTTAACGTAAATATCAATATCTACAACGAGCAATATCATAAGTTTGAGTTAGAGTTGGTAAAAATGTTGTACGGTTCAGATCTGTTCTTCCAAAACATCTAAGAATCATTTAAAGGTACACTCCATGGGATTGAAAATGCCGAAAATGCTTAATTTTTCCATCCGCAGCTTCTTAAAAAATTACATACACATTAAAAACGGTTTAAATCCTTAAATATTTTTTTCTGGGGCGTACCTGATGATGATTTTTCCATTGGAGCTTATAGGAAATTGGCTGCTGTTATAATGACTGGTCAGTCATATAAGCTAAAATCAACCTTTATAAATTTTATCAAAGGTCAAATCCAAGTGCAGAGAGGGAAAAATCCATTTGGGCGGGAATTCTTATGACGTGTACCTTTTAGTATTATAATTAAGACAATGCCTACATGAATGTATTTTCCAATGAATCTTTTCGGTCAAGAATTTAAACCTTTGATTCAGACCGATTTTTAAAATGAACACATCCACTGCAAATAAGACGCTTTCTGTGGTATATGACATGTAATATGATAGTTAAAGCGGTGCTTTGTGAACACGTTTTTAATACTAACCTTGAATATCTGTCATTCTTGACTCTGCCATGGGTGTTTAGTAACCTTTTGGGTCCCAACTGTATTTCATGACATTTCTTTGCTATCCAGGGTCGTGCGTTATTATTTTTTTCGGAGAAGAGTTAGCGAGGATTCTGCAAGTCTTAATCTTCTTACTGTTATTGCTGCTTTCAGACAACGAAGACTTATTTCGCACAAGCACCAGGACATAATCGCCTTCAACAAGCAAAAATGGACCGTAGAAAGAACAAGGTGTCACCGATTCTCCAGGCGTCGGCATGCAACACGTCCCAGAGATCATTGAGAGCCGGGGGGTTTCGCTTTGGTGCGGACAGTCCCGAATCGATGACCCACTCTCAGCTGGACTTGGCCATCATGGAGATGATGAACATTAACCCCACAAGAACACCCTGGCAGATATGTGAAGGTAAGTACAGTTAATTATTACAAAATGGCGAATTAAGGATTTTTTGGGCGGTGGTTGTGGGGGATAAAGCATGTTGCTGAGCGATGCAGAGCAAATATTTTGTAGCAGACGACGACAATTTTACTGTAATATATTTGTTGGGAACAGGGATGAAATAAAATGCATGATATTGTTACATTTTGCTTGATATGCTGTTCCACGAAAAGGTGATTTCTAAGAAGCTAGAGGGGCACGTGGCCTGAATCTGCCGTTTTCTAGTGTGTTTGTGCCGTAAATAATCCCTGAGATGACCAAAAAGCATGACAATACTATTCTGGGAGGTTTCTTTTTCATCAGCTGCAAAAACGGACTGGTAAGTCTGTGTCCCAGATTTAAGCGATGTTTTAGTGTTATTTTCGGCTAAGAATAAAAAAGTTTATAATACACAGTAATGTTTGGATAGACAAAATTGTTTGTTATAATAAGAAAAATCCTACCTCTTTCACATGAAAGCGCACCCATTGTAATCCAACGCCTAGTAATATAAATTTTTGACAGACTTTCTAAGCTGATCACCCACTGCTGTTACCCAGTATCGTGGGCGTGCAGATATCTATTTTCATTTTTTTTCTCGTCGTGTGCAAAATTTCAGTAGCAGCCAAGCCTCTATCTTCGCATTTTCTTGCTAACCGAAACAGGGGTATATTGATTTTTTTCCTAATAATACAATAAATGTAAATAAGTTTGGCTGGTGTTCAAGAAATCGAGCAAATATTCTGTAAGCTGTTCCTGTTTTCTCCACATGGGATATATTAATCTACAAGGTCTGACCTGAAAATTCGTTTAGAAATGAACATGCTATTCTATTTTGGGAGTGTGAAATATTGGGTGTGTTATAAACCCCAAATTAATTGTCATGTTCCTACCACTAAACAAAAGAAAGAAAAGCTTGGAGATTGAGCTTTAAATAGTGAGTACTGCTCAGCAGACGACACAAAAAAGGTCAAGGTCTAATTAGCCTTATCACTGGCAACAGATACCTTTCAATTGTTCCGCAAGGACAAATAGTTAAGCCTTTTACTGGTGACTTACAAAAAATGGCACATTTTGTGTGGTTGACAGTCTTCAATATTCATAATTTTACTTTTTTTAATAAAACCTATGAACTCACAATTAAGGAAATGGTTTGAAACGATATCGAGGGACATCTCATAGAATATTTAGTACATTTCCTAGCCATTGTTCCGGTGATCAGACTTGATCACTTTCTTGAGATTTAACGAAAGACGGCATGCGGTTCTAGCGGAAACGCGGAATAATGTACCGGTGGCATTGTACAGGCAATAATATGATAATCAATAGTTGAACATAGACTTTAGGAAATGAGGCACCACCGATTTAATAAACGGTCACATAAACAGCCTTATTGGTACCTTGCACCGTTATGATGTATTTCAACTCGGTCTTTCTGTAGCCTCTACTTGAGAAGACACTTTATCATCACGTATTTCTAGTGTTTGTTTATTATGTTTTCTTCACCCAGGAACATGACCTTTGCACGCATTCTGTTTTGCCGATGAGACATATTTGATGAAAACCTGTCAAATATATCTGTCAAAGAGTACCATTTGTTAAAGGCCCGATTTTATTGAGCTTGCTTAACAACATCTGGTCTAGTATGTTTTGTTGATATACTCAAAAAAGACATGCTATCAGTAATCCCGCTTTTCGCCCAAAGTGTTGAAATGTATCGTTTAAATTTCAAGTAATTATCATTTTCTATTTATCTTTCATTTTAGATGAAACTGAGACGCAACCTTAGAGTTTTATTAAGATATATTAACTGCGATTATCATTGGTTTTCACTTTGCAGGGACTGTGTGTGTGTGTGTGTGTGTGTGTGTGAGAGAGAGAGATAAAGAGCGTGTGTGTGTGTGTGTGTGTGTGTTAATGTGCACGCCACTGTTCCTAACAGTAAAGCATACTTTAGTTGATGTTTTCTATGTACCGTTAGGTAACCCAATAACGACCAAGGGAAAGCGACTGCAAATGGCTAAAATGCTGATGCTCACGCTGTTTCCTTGTCTAGTGCTTATGGGTATAACGGCAGGGATTTGGGGCCAAAGGATTGTCTCTTACGTAAAGGTGACAGCACTTCAACAGGCAAGTATGTGGCGTATTTTTACAGAAGGTCATATGGTGACGTCATTATATATCGAGTAACAAACCGCTAAGGATGTGTGACGTGTAATTTGTAAATTGATGATAAGACATTTTATACAAGAGAAGTTAATGACGAGTCTTGAATAATTCCACTGTGAAAATTGGATGATTGATTGGAAAAAGCGTTGTGGTAATATTTGTCTCGCATGCGTCAGTGTCTTTTATTTCTGTTCTAGACAATCGGGCAATGTATCAACGTTGAAAGATTTGTCAAAAACTTGCAAGATGAGAGAGATAAGAGTGTTCTCTATTTGAGCGAGATTGGTAGAGGTAAATAGCTTACCACAATATAATCCCCTCTTGGTTTGTATTACTTAACTGTTTTCATTAAATTAAATTTTTTTTAAATTAATTAATCAATTAAATGTGTTATTAATGTTGTGAACTGATTATTGATATCAATATGCCTGAATGTCATTTTTGTCATTTTTAAAGTAGTGAGTGTACCCAGATAGATACTACATGTATATAAAACATTCAGGAATCTATTACTTTCATGACCAGTGTGAACATGAGAAGAGATGAAAAGACGAAAACAAAAGAAGGATGGCGGTTTAAGATACCAGTAGCTATGTTGAAAGAAAAAATTACTAATGTAGCCATGTGGACAGCACACCACAAAATACACCACAAAGTAAATAGTTAAAGTTAACACTCAAAGAAGGAGAGAGATATTAGATACGTTGAAGAATAACAGAAATTAAAATTATGGAAAAGCTGCAAGCAAACGTAGAAATTCTTAAATATCCATAAATGCCAAATCACAATCACCGTAAACATGCCATCGTGGACCGTAATTTTTGTCCATAGAAAAGAACTCTATATAGGATATGGTAGTGTCAAAATTTCAAAGTAACTTTGATCATGTTGCATGTTTCAGACTGTTAGTGTTGTTTCCCTGTTGGCCCAGCTTCATTCAGGCACTTACTACTCTGTGGACAAATTTTACTCAGTGTCTAGACAAAATCACAGCGCATATGCGCCATCTTTTTCCTATTCTCTATCCTAGCTGTATTAATTATACGTGTTGTGTAACAGAGTTGGATGTAAATCGGTGATGTCGGTTTCTGTTCGTCACCTCCCGATTTGAAAATAAGATTTTACTCCGAATGACCTCCGGCGTTATATGTGCCCAGCGGAAGATTTTCCTGCGAAAAAAATCCACACTGCGAATTTTCTTGGGGTTTTAGGTTTCTTTTAGGAACTAGCAACCTTTGATCCTCCTTTCTTGACACTTAATTGCCATAACCAATGTGTAACCATTTTAAAAGGAGTGACTTATGTACATTATGTACTTCAAGTTTAAAAAAAAAACTAGTTTGAAACCTTAATATATCCTTTATAAAACACATTTTAAGATGCTCTGGCGGTTCGACGATGTGTTTGTTGTTTTTCATGATCTGTGTGTTTTTGTCATACCCCATAGTTTTCAACATTTGTAGTTTAGTCTTGAAGCAGTTTTTTCACATTTCCTAATCCCAAGTAGTAGGGTATTCTCAAACGAGAAAAAATAATAAACACAATTCCTATATGCTGTTTTATATTTGACCGCCTTCATATAATATATAAAAATGCAGTAGTATCGAAGTAGCAAAGAAGCATTAACGCAGTAGTGGTGTGGAGCATACATGTATTTGCAGTAGAAATGCAGTATAGCCTACTGCAATTCTACTCCAAAAAGTACGTAGGTTTGTACAGAGAGGAGCATTAATGCAGTAGATTAGCAGCATGATAGAAGCATGCTTCAAATATGCTAATTAGCTCCCAAATCGAAGCAGATTTGAGGCATGTTTGCAGTATGATTGCAGTAGTCTACTGCGTTTTCGTGCGGGATGCTAAATCCACATGAGATTTTTCAGCTTCTCTTTACTTATTTGTAATGTATTTTTGATAATAACACTACTACCCTTTTGAGGAATAATGAACAGATTTGATGCGCTTGCACTTTCCACAGGTATCAAACGTGAGCTTACAATGAACTGTCCTTTATGGCTATATTTTATCACGTGGTTAAGGCTAAGTAACTATGAACGCTAATATACTTATCTTTTTGGTTATAGGTGTACAGGGAAAAGGTGTGTTTTGCTGTTTTGTATTATCGGTTACCTTTCAAAACGTCTCATAGTCTGCAATTAGTTCCTTTGTAAATTGCTGTTGTTAATAGAAGTGGGCAACTTTGGCTTACTCGATTTTTGGATTTCTGAGTACCTTATAGCTTACAATAGCGTGTGTCAACAATGATGACTGCATTCCTTTTGTTTTATTGGGCAACTACAACTTACAATAAAGTGTGTCAACAGTGAAGCTTACTCATATTTTGGATTTCTGACAACCTTATTACTTACAATAGAGTGTGTCATCAATGAAATAAGTTATATCAAAAATTCCTAGAGTTTAAGCTTATACATTTTGGGCAACTTTGTCTTACTCGATTTTTGGATTTCTGAGTACCTTATAGCTTAAAATAGAGCGTGGCAACAACGAAGACTGCATTTCCTTTGTTTGCCCAATAAAACAAAAGGAATGCAGTCATCATTGTTGACGCACTCTATTGTAAGCTATAAGGTACTCAGAAATCCAAAGATGGAGTAAGCCAAAGTTGCCCACTTCTACAGTTGTTGATGGTCAGTAAATTGCATTTTGCTAGGTGGACGCTCTATTAGACAAGCTATGGCTGTGGTTGAGGTGAAAACTGCTAACTAAAAATCCCAAATCTCTTTTATTGCCATCTGTTTTGCATAGATGTTATGTAACCTGTTTTTGTTTCTATTTTTAATGTCCGTCTCACCATCGATGTTTTCAAATGTATCCAAAAATTGTATTTAAAATATCATTAAAAACCCCTTCGCAAATTAAATTTGGGTCAAGCGGTACCCAAATTAGTGAGAAAATAAAAGTCCAAAAAACATACAAAGTTGGCTCATAAATGTATACCAATTTTCTTTATTCATATATCTTACAAATGTATACTGAAACAGAATAATGAGACTGGGCTGAAACCTCCACCATTAAAAAACAACTTACATTCTGCTGCAATGAAAGAATTATATCCATTGAGAACCAAAAAGGTCGGACCAAAGGTAAAATAAATTTAGGAAAAACATTTGTGTTGTAAATTAACACACTGCGGTGAAGCCATAGCGTGAAATATTTCTTTGAATGGCACACTCTCGTTATTCTGTTGCTCATAACCGTAATAACCGGTTACTTTCCCTTATTTTCCATCTAACTCAATATTACAGACCCAAGGGCAAAACAAGAGCTCCTGAGCCAATATCCATTGACTGATAAAGCTTATGAAGACCTTCCGTTGTGGCCATTACGTGCACTAAGCAGCAAGTCACACTACCAGTCAAAGGAAGCCTTTTTGGCGTACCTGAATGAACACCGATATGAATTTTTTAGCCAGGGAAAAACCGAAAGGACTGAATTGGCGTTTTACACAGAGCACATCAACATGTTCCTACAGTGGTTGTTCTCTCTGGCAGATGGCGTGAGTTAAGTTTGCATTATATTTAGCACTCTTTAAATGCAGGCTTCCCTTTTCCGCCAACTTCTGCTAACTTTGGACAGTTTAAATATTAATTAGCCCAACTACTCACATATAGCTCCATAAAGGGTGCCGGAGGAGACCAAAATTGAACAGAATTGTGCCAGAAATGTGATGTCATGTGGCGTCAAGTGGTGTAAGACGCGAAGCTAAGTGGTCATTTTTAGCTGGAGGTGAACGGGAGTAAAGACGTGGACTCGGAGAACAAAACAATTTTTCTAACAACACGTTTAGAACATTTATCTTTATGCATTTGGGGCAGAGAATACTTGTAGAAATAATAGGAGCATGATATGAAAACGTGTCACGGAATTTAAAGGGTGAAAAATAGTGTTTAATTTGCAGACAATTTGTTTGGAAATATATGCTGCATCGACCGCCAGCGCGACAAAGAGCGTCAAGGGAAAAGAATTCCCGGGAGGTTATTAATCATTGTCTTGTTGAATTTTTGCATGTATGCAATCTGTTATGCCCACATCCAAATATAATTTAGGTACCTTATGGTATGTGCTGCAATTATGACGATGTTTTAGAGTCTTTGAAGGACCTTGTGAAAACCAGAAAGTAGTTCGCAACTGAAAACTGAACCGTACCGAGCCACAACTGCTGTGCAAAGATGTATCTTTTTAAAAATATTGTGACAATTTTTAGACGTTTATATGTCCATCTGTCATGAAATTCCACACATATAATAATAACACTAATTTACCTATTACACAAGGGTAGGCACTAATTAGTGACAAATGCCAAGACAAAGGTGACGTTCTGACAGCCTCTCATCTAGGCTAAAATTCACAAGTACTGGATTGGCATTTAATGGTACTGGAGTATTTTACATCCAAGTGCTTGTCAAAATGGTCTTGACTAGCTTGCACTGTATTTACAACTACATGTAGAAGGAGTTTCTGTCATTTCTGACAATGCCAGCATCTCAGTGTCTGGGTTTATCATCTTGCTGCAAGGGCACTGCTCGACTTGACTAGACATTTCCATACTACTGCACCTTTTTAAATCCCAATAGCATAGAAAGAAAAATGTACAATAAAATTTGATGCATTCATCGGACGAGTATAACACTTCAATGGTGAAAGTAAGCCTTTCACTGATTAGATCTTCCCAAAAAGATGAAAAGAGAATTCAAGTGAGTCGATCACAAAGCTGACAGGAAATTGGGACTAGCTTAAGTCACTAATAATTGACATTATTATGCAATACTCAGTTGGAAAAGCGCGTCTGACAGGTAGATAAGATAAATCATGACCAGTTTCTCAAAGCTATTGATTGCTAGCCTGAGGTCTCTTTTGCTTGTGATTTTTAGCTCAGATAAGAGTCTGTCAGAACGTCACCTTTGTCTTGGCATTTGTCACTAATTAGTGTCTACCCTTGTGTAATAGGTAAATTAGTTTTATTATTATATGTGTGGAATTTCATGACAGATGGACATATAAACGTCACAATATTTTAAAAAAGATACATCTTTGCACAGTAGTTGTGGCTCGGTACGGTTTAGTTTTCAGTTGCGAACTACTTTCTGGTTTTCACAAGGTCCTTCAAAGACTCTAAAACATCGTCATAATTGCAGCACATACCATAAGGTACCTAAATTATATTTAGATGTGGGCATAACAGATTGCATACATGCAAAAATTCAACATGACAATGATTAATAACATCCCGGGAATTCTTTTCCCTTGACGCTCTTTGTCGCGCTGGCGGTTGATGCAGCATATATTTCAAAACAAATTGTCTGCAATTAAGCACGATTTTTCACCCTTAAGTTCTGTGACACGTTTTCATAGCATGCTCCTATTATTTCTACAAGTATTCTCTGCCCCAAATGCATAAAGATAAAATGTTATCTTACCGTGTTGTTAGAATAATTGCTTTTTTCTCTAAGCCCACGTCTTCATTCCCATTCACCTTCAGCTAAAAATGACCACTCAGCTTTACGTCTTACACCACTACACGTCACTTCCGCCACAATTCTGATCAATTCTGGTCTCCTCCGGTACCACTTAATATATATGTTTTTTTTTCCAAAGGTAATATACCTGTATATATTCATTTTCAATGTTGAATTTTTTGCTGGGCAACCTCTGAACTAATTTTTGACTCAGGTGCAACGATTTATCAACCCTGTGTGTTGTTGGGTATATTGTGATTAACCCATATTTTTATTTCCCGGTTTTGGAAGCGGGTAGCTACCGGATCAGTGTGGAAGGAAATGGTAGCATTTCTGCACGTGGCTGATGCTAAAACAAAGCTGGGAACCGAGCGAGCTCTTGGGGTTTATTACTTCACCAAGGGACACTTCGACAACGCCGAAAGCTACCTCCAGTTCATCGAGTCGCAAGACAATGCCAATACCACTGTTGCAAGCGCGTCTCTATATTCTTCACTCGTGGGGCAGGTATTCCACAGGGAATTTTTGGACAACAAATCCCTTGCTGACGACATCAAATTTATGCGCGCGTCTATAGTACATGTAGAAAATCCATTTGAAAAGAGCAACGGCTCCTTGTCGCTTGCACGGTACTGGTTCGACAACCTTACCTACCAAATGGACGTGATGTTGCACATACAGCAACTACTTTGTGAAAATATGATTGAGACCTTGAGAGTTAGGGAGAAGGAAGAAGTTATAGAACTCGGCGGTAATTAACTTTATGAGATCAAGATTCGTTTTCACCATCAAAAAATTACAAATTTATTAATGTAATAAAGGAATTAACTATTTTTAACTTACAAAAATAACCTTGACGTACTTTTAGCTGAATGAATGAATCTTATATTGATCTCATAAAACTGATAAATAAATCTAGACAAAACTGTTTTCAGATCATCGGTAATTAAGCTACAAAATGAGACCAAAAATCAAATTATGTATTATATTGCATTCAGATGCATTATGATAAGTGATGACACTTATTGTAGGAGAGTTGGTCAAGAAATGGAGTTTACTGGCTCTAAATGCACGTGTCGTTGTCCCTGCTTTGAGATTAATTGATATTTGTTGATGAATGTATTAGTTTTCAGTCGACATATTTCACAAATGTTTCTATACGTTATTCACGGCAACAGGTGGGCGTTTTCATTAGAGCGACGCAAATGCTTCACCTTTTCATTCATTCAGATATTGTTGTAATTCTTTCTCTTTTAGCGGAAGGCTCTGTGTTTGCGGTAGCCTTGATAGTCTGCCCACTCATTATACAGGCGATTTACACCATGACCAGCCGGATGCACGTGTTTTCAATCTCACTGGCTGACAAGTACGTATGATTATTGGTTCGTGGGGGTGGAGGGTGGAGCAATTCCATTCTGCCAGAAAATTCAAAAATGGGTTAAATGGAATTGCGTTTTGAAATAAAACTCTTCATTCTTTTCAGTTTTGTTAAAACATACGTCAACCTTCATAAGTTCATAGAAAAAAGGAGAAATCGTATATCAGCGATGTAGCAGAAATCTTAATTCCAATTTTTTTTATTCTTTGACATAAAATTAAGAAAAACGAACGCAACAAACAACACCTAGCAGGGGGTATGATGAACTGCTATCGAAGAAACCGTAGAAAATAGCAGAACCCATGCATTTAGGCAACTTTTTCCCAATAATACCCCCCCCCCCCAACACGCCTTGTTTGCTTGACTATGCCATTCAGTTTTATCTGCTCACCTTAGGTTTTAAACTATCCATCACAAATACAGAAAACAGCTAGGAAAACTTGTTGCCTGTCACAAGTTGGATAAAAGCATGAGCTTTTTTTAAAAAAGAGCATTTCTATAGCACCTCGTTATCTTCTTCCGGAAACGAACTTTAAATGACCACTAAGTTCCAAGCTGAAGTTCATTTATCTGTATGACATAATTTTGCCACATTGCCATTGATTTGCCTAGATTATTTCTAATATATTTGCTAAGTAGGTCCTACTTCCTTTGTTTACATGTGAGACAAGCAGTCACTTTCTATTTTCCTCTCAATTTCAAATTGATTAAAGGTAGAGGTAGTTTTATAATTTTCAGTGGTACTCTGTAGAATTTACAAAGATATTGAAAGATATGTTAATTTCAAATTGTTTGTCTTTCCACAATTAATAGAAAAAACGGAGAAACATCTTTTTTCCTTACCTTTAAAAAGCATAAAGGTTTCTTTAATAATATTACTGTACATAAATGAGACACTTTGATTAAAGTCGTCACAGTATCATACTTATTCTCTATTAACAATAACGATTCACCGTTGGAAGATCTTATAATTTAAATCAGAAATGCATCCGTCAAATATGTTCTGAATTTAAGTTCACTCAATTTTCCCATACAGACGTGAAACCTATACATATGTCCTAGCAACAAAGATTCAAGAGGCCTCAAGTTATACTAAATTGCCATTTTAATTAATATTGTTCCAGGACAAAACAACTGAACAAGGAGAAAAATCGAACAGATACACTACTGTACCAAATGTTGCCCAAGGCCGTTGCCGAAACTCTAAAGAAAAACGAGGAGGTTACAGCTGAATTCTATGAAAGCGTCACCATTTTCTTTTCCGATATTGTCGGTTTTACAGACATATCAGCATCGAGTTCCCCGTTTCAGGTAAGTCTACAGCACAGCAGGCACTGCACATTGCGCAACGCATTCGTCAGCTTAATATGTGCTGCTCACCGTGCAAATTTGATTCCAAGAGGTATTTTTGTACATGTACTAATATAGAGTTGGCGCTATCAGCAGCGGTGGTGTTTTAAGAGGGCATTCACATCAGATGATCCTAGGATCTACTAATCCGCGGATCACATATGGCGGTCCCTACATGAAAGCAGGGCCGACTAATCCGCTGATGGTCTCCCCGCCGCCGCACGAGCCATTTAACGGATTAAATCACGGCTCCGAGGTTAAATTGCTAGAAGACCTGCATGGACGGCGAGTGTGGAGGCAGGGAGACTATTTAATTCATGCGTATGCAATGTCAGTTTCTGAGGGAAATGTTAAATACATACAAAAAAACTTACTCAAGTAGATATCTCTACTGCTGAATCGGAGTTTTAACTATTAAAATATCAGCTTCCCTAATTATTGAGTAATCTCATTATTTCTGCTTTGATAATTTAAAACTTTCCATTGCAAATGGCGGTAGGGTAAAGTTGAACGTTTACGAGACCTATTTCTTTTTGTAGGTAGTTCAGATGTTGAATAGTCTATATTCATCCTTTGACGAGAGGATTGGGCGATATGATGTGTACAAGGTGGAGACAATCGGTGACGCTTATATGGTGGCATCAGGTATTTAATAAGGCTGGGAGGCGTAGGATTCTTTTCCAAGAAGGTCTATTCTGGGAACTACCGGTAGCCATTTTGTGTGATATAACTTTAGTGCGAGAATCGTTCTAAACATTAAGACAAAATGTGTAGTCGACTTTGATCCAAGATAAAAACAGGCCATTAGTAGGTCTACACTGAAATAGTAGTCTTTGTATTGGTATATGTAGTTATATAGTACATGTAGTGCCAGTAGTAGTAGTAGTAGTAGTAGTAGTAGTAGTAGTAATAATAATAATGGTAGCTTGTCCAATGTTTATGTTAAAATGAGAAATTGCACCCGTTTTATAAAACTAACTCGGGTGATAATATTTATCCTATCGAACCCTTCTGAATTAATCGTCTCTTCTCTTCTAGATCCATGTCCAACTTCTCGATGCAATAGCTTTTTCATGCTGGTTTCACAACACCGTTTAGGTGTAATTCATTTATAAATCAACAAACACGATATTCGTCCTGTTCCAGGGTTGCCCAAGCGTAATGGAAATCGCCACTCTGCAGAGATAGCCACCATGTCCCTTGACCTTCTTGACCACATCTCACAGCTTGAAATACCGCACATGCCGGAGAAAAAGTTTCGACTGAGGATTGGCTTACACACGGGTAATTACACTGTATAAGCAGCGTTGTTCCATATTTTTAAATATAAAAGTCAGCTGTAATTGGAACTTATTGTATAAGCAACGTTGCCCTATATTTTTAAATGTAAAAGTCAGATATGACTAGAAGTTGTATTTTGGTGTCGTATACACCCTATGTCCGGTCGCTATACATCTCCAAAAACCCTACTGAAAATCGCAAGTGCCCCCACTGTGATCGAATTGAAACTAAAACTCATTTCTTACTAAAATATAAAGAGTGACAAAGCTGAGCAGAAGACGGACCAGGAGAAACTAAAAACTGAAAACTGGCTTGACACCAAAAGTGAATCATGCTTGAGAGCCATACACGTATTTAGTAATATTACTGAAAGTTTTACGAAACGAAACACGTATCACTAGCAATAGTTGTTTTATCCTTGCTATTTCCCTGTCATTATGCCACATGTATTTTATATTTGCATAAATGTAATTAAACTGAGTTCAGTACCTGTTTAATGTAATCTGTACATATTTTAATCCTGAATAAGGAATCATTGTTATTAATTCAAGAGTTTCTCATCTATAATGTCATAAGTTGTTAACACTGCAACGGCTTAAAGTCAGATAATTTCATAACAATGTGCCAATCTCTCCCATTTAAGGAAACACTCAGGCTATCCGATATCCTTTATAGGTTGTGTCGAGATGAATTAATATCAGCATTTATCGATCACATTTTTCTCCCTACATTTCGTATACTAAATTAGTATTGTGAAGAATTACTGTCACCATCGAGCAATGATGAGCAGATGCATGTATTCAATGTGCAATTGAAACTATTTTACAACGAATTGTCTTAATAGCTTGTCCTTCATGATATAAGGCTACAGAGGGTTTTTACTCAATCCCCTTTTCTGTTCATAATTAAGTGCTTAGAGTTGCTGTTTGTGGTTAATTCTTTAATTTGGCTGTGTTCCACGCGGCGACTCCGTTCTTGCACCTCTATTACGTAATAACCAGTTTTTTTAAAGCCGCCAATTTCACAAAACACTGGTACAGCTATTTAATTGCAACTGCTGTCTTCTTTGACGCCGTCGGACGTCTAGGCCACCAACAAAAGATCTTCTACTGCTCTCTGTCATGGGCTAGGTGTGTATAATTACAACGTTCGGTGTAAAAGGACCTTGGATAGCATCCCAGATATCACAATAAATATCTCCAGGTATTGTCCGTCTTATGTGCAAATAAACCCAGTGTTACCTGAGAAGCGATAATAAAAACACACCAGCGGGATATTCATCAAAAAGTGCGAGATAATAGTTTGATACTCATATTCATAAGTTGTAGTGCTAAGTATTTGTTATGAACTAGGATGAAACTGGTATTTTTATCATTCCATTTCCAGGGTCGGTTGTTGCGGGCGTGGTGGGGTTGAAGATGCCGCGTTACTGCCTCTTTGGTGAAACCGTCAGCATAGCGTCACGCATGGAATCTTTCGGATCGCGTAAGAACAGTTTGCAAACATCACGCAACGTATGCTATACACGCCAAAATGCTAAGGGAATTAATCTGTCATAAGCCACAAGCATAAGTTTGCATAAGAGTCATATGAGGCAGTTAAAACGGCGTAAAAGCCTCAAGAATTACCAGGGTAGTTCCAGGGTACATGTTGAAGGAGGAGGTTGGAGTAGTATAGGGGCCGATGAACGTTATATTAATGTCTGTCTCAAAAGAATGTTTGTATTTGGGGAAACTTATCTCATAAGAAGACGACTTGTCCGCTGTACCCAGGGGCGTCTCTACGGGATACGGCGCCTATTGCAAACAATGGAAGTTCACCGTTATCTTAACAACCAACACCCACATTTATAGATACTTGTAACACTTTGATAGAAAAATAGCTAAAAATGCAAGTCCCTTCCGTATATTTTTGTATTAGCAAATTATGGCACTACACGAAAATTGTCTTTCCCAAAAGCTTCTCAAAAACGTCTCTAAATTGCCCGACTAGGTGTACATGTAAAACAGCTCTAGATGAGAAACATTGATGGATATCTTTTATATTATTATCTGTACAGCCAACAAGATCCATCTGAGTGGAACCACCCATGCGGCACTCACAGAAATTGGTGGATTTTCTATGACAAGAAGAGAGAAGGAAATTGTGCTGGTACGAATGCTCTATTGGTGTCGGTACTTTTGTCATGTCTTCTGTGTTTTAAGTTGACCTTACCTTTGCATTTTGAGTGTAACATTTGACGAATGGTTCTTCGTTTATTGGCGTAGTGTTGCATCAGACAAACAGCTATTTGCTGGTCATTCCAAAAACCGACCTGCTTCCATTTGCTGACATAGATGTGCCTTCAAATTGGTACCAGAAACAAACCAATTTAGACAATCCGAGTTAATTAAAGCAATGCAAAAAAACGATATGTTTGAGCGCCCTTTTCAACAATATATTTGCGTTACGATATACAGAATTGTAATTTGCCTTTGACCAGTTAAGTTAAGAAGCCGGTATGGCATGCTAATTAAAAGCGTCGGTTGGATGAATTGGGCTCTTTCTGTATGATACATGTATTGCATGTTCGCACTTGCTTAAATCATATTTTGCGTGTTAATCTGGTATATTTTGCACTTCAACTAATATGGTAATCGATACAAGTGATAGATACAATACGAGTCGCCGAGCTGTACGTGAAATATTACGAGTGTATTGGCGAGCCGCAGGCGAGACAATACACGAGTAATTTTCACGTACAGCTCCGCGACGAGTGTTGTATCTGGCTTAAACCACGGCCTCTGATTGGCTACTACACTAGAAATGCAACAGACCGTGGAACGCACTCGTACATGACGTGCTTGTATGTCAAATACAGCACGACCGAGTCTTTTGTTCTACGTGCTAGCCGTGGTTTAAATTAACTTATATCACGCAGTGTTAATGGGCTCATAGTTATGGGCTCATAGTTAGCGCGGGTTGCTCGAAATGAAAACGATCAGTATCAACGCATATTCTTCAATAATAGGCTCAATGCGTGAGGATAATGAGGGAAACATTGGTGAAAATTGTGAAACCCCATGAATACGTCATTATAACTCTCTGTCCGTTCAATTATCACTTTGTGGCAAAATGTCAAAACTAAAGTATTCAACATTCCAATATTTCGTTCCTCTAATCAGATTCCCATTCACAATTTCAGGGAGACTCCATGTTGTCGATGGTAATAAAAGGAGACATCAGTACATATTGGCTGTGGGATAAGGAGGGGATGCATAGGAGGCAGGCCTTCAATAGTAGTCAGCAGTCAGTTGATCATGGTAAGTGACAAACACCTAAGTCTGCTTGTACATTCATCTTCATCCCACAGTCGAGATTCAAATCCAATAAGATTGCCAATCCTCCTTACGGAAATGCTGATTGTAATCGAATCGCTCCTGAGTGAGATTCAGACTTAAAAAATACCTAACCATGCACTAACTGCTTCAATGTGAGGATATTTCAAATTGTTCAAATTCTGAAACTAAATATTCACGGAAACAGTATCGCAAATGGGATCTGCACTTAAACATTACGCATGATTTGTAGATAAAAAAATCTCCTCCCAATCATTACATCACGGATTTAATGCAGTGCAGTTAATTGCATGATTTATAATAATAAAATGAATGGAAAACAACCGATGTTGCCTTTTTAATGAATATCTACAGTCATAATCCTAAACAAACCCTAACAAAGAGAAAAAATATCCACTATTTATTGTTGTTTGACCAACTAACATTATTTGTCTACGTGTTCGTGATCATGACCAATGTTCTTGCGCCTATTTTAAATTGATGGGCAATATCGGCAAGTCCGATCATAGTGATGATCTTCTATTTTTTTTTCAAATTCAGTATGATGCTCATTATGAAAATGGCTGTTGACATACTAACATTTGACAAAAGATATGCTATTCTAAATTTAATATTAATAATATGACACTAATAAATATTTAACCATTTGTTGTTTTGTTTTGCAGCCAAATTTCCAAAATTTAAAAATGGGCTCCCTCCTTTCAAGGGGAACTTGCTGTTGTTATTAAATGTCAAGGTTTTTTAAATTTTATTTTAGATAACGCATATTCTCCTGCCTGTTCCCCGGGCCCCGAGGCGTGTCATATCCCAGATAACCCCTTTATACAGAGAAGAGGAAGCGTTGTCATCTGCGATGAAAATTGACATTATCCTTTTGGAGTTTCTTGCACCATTGACAACGAGGGAAAATTTTTGAATCTGTTAAGACTTTAGAATTATATAATTATCATATCATACAGCTTCTGTGTAAAATAGAAGTTAGCTTTACTGTTGATTATTGACCTTTTTCAGACCAATATAAAGATTAACCAAAGATTAAGACCTGATTGACACAAATAATTGTGACCCAATTTTGTAGAAAAAATAAATGTCGTCTGACGTTATGAGTAAAAAGAACACCGCAAATGATATATTGAGTAAATCATATAATGAAAAAATGATTTTTAACTTGGTGTATTGTATCTTTGTTATTCTTGGGCACCAAATTTTGGGTCTAAAATGTGGAGCACAATGCACTTTCATGTAGCTTCATTGTGCACAAGCAACTGGGCTGTATGACCAATGTTTATATATGTAGCATATTCATTATACCCTATATATCGTAGACATTTATTAATATATAATATAACTATAATTTTACCTATATATTTTTTGATTCGGCTGGTCCAATGGAATGGAATATGCTACCAATTTGAAATCGCTCAATTGACTCAACTGATAATTTCAAAAAGGTGTTAAAGCATAGCTTATTAGGAAATCTTATAATTAATTACCTTAATTGAAAGTGGTTTTATGTGAGAATAAGGCTGTTTTATTAACTATCTTAATTGTTATGGGTTTTATGTGAGAATATAGCTGTTTTTATTGATTATCGTAATTGTTATTGGTTTGTGTGAAAATATAGCTGTTTTTATTGATTATCTTAATTGTAATTAGCTTAATGTGCGATTATAGCTGTTTTTATTGATTACCATATTATTGATATTGACTCAACTGATAATTTCAAAAAGGAGTTAAAGCATAGCGTATTAGGAAATCTTATAATTAATTACCTTAATTGTAATTGGTTTTATGTGCAAATATAGCTGTTTTTTATTGATTAACTTAACTTTATTTGATTTTATGTGAGAATAAGGCTCTTTTTATTGATTGTTTTAATTGTTATTGGTTTTATGTGAGAATTAGGCTGTTTTTATTGATAATCTTAATTGTAATTGGTTTAACCTGAAATCAAGGCTGTTTTTATTGAATATTGTAATTGTAATTGGTTTTTATGTGCAAATATAGCTGTTTTTATTGATTATCTTAATTTTATTTGGTTTTATGTGAGAATAAGGCTCTTGTTATTAATTATTTTAATTGCTTTTTTTGTGAAAATTAGGCTGTTTTTATTGAATATCTTACTTGTAATTGGTTGTATGTGAGAATCAGGCTGTTTTTATTGATTATCTTTATTGTAATTGGTTGTATGTGATAATTAGGCTGTTTTAATCTAGCTTTAACTTTCTTAATATATATTTTTTTTATTTTACATATCTTGGTAATTGTGTTTTTAAGTACTTGCTTTTTTGTGTTAAGTCTACAGAACAGTTTTATTGGGTTTTAAACTTAAAACAGATTTATTATTATTATGTGATTGTGAAAGTATCAGGGTAACATGCAGTATCGGTTCCACTGGGTTTCATAAGTAACTGCATTAGTTCAGATACGTTTAGAACATTTTAATTGAAATATTAACTACTTGCATTCATTTATCAGTTAATGTTATCTGATTCTTTAAGACCAAATTGCTTTCAAGACATTAACTGATCCATGAAATGCATTAATTTCCACATTTGGAGAATGATTTCAATATACAAACATATATGATTAAGTGCAAAGGATGTTACTTCTGTGTATATGTAATGTTATGTATATGATAACGCTTATGCCAAAAAATGAGCCTCGAACCAACCAAACCTCTAGACTCTTTTGTAATGATGAAAACTTTGTTATTATTCCCAGAACCGTCACTGCCTACATTCGAAGAACTTTGATCTACTAACTTATATCCATAAGTATTTGCGTAATACATTGGAAGGTGAAAGGAACGAAGAGGATAAGCGGCCTTTTAAATTGCTTGTGAAACGCAAAACAGTCAGCTTATAGTAAATTAGTAGACTACGGTTTTAGCCAATTAACTGACTCCAGACTTAACTGACAGCTAGGCCTCAGGTCTTTGTTTGTACAAGCATGTGATTATCATGTTGCACTTTACAGTCATTTCATATATAAAAACAACTTTTTCATCGTTCAACCAACCAAATGTGTTGTTTATCAAAACGCAAAAAAGAGATTTGGCGGTTTAATACTTTCTGCCCCCACAAGGGAAGACTTAGGGGTAAAAGAACCAAACTCTAAGGTTAAGAAAATATTTTTTGTATATCCAGTATTTACAAACGTTTAAAAATGTTAAATATGTAGGGAATTAAGGCACACGCGCAAACAAAACGTGCGTATATACTGACAGCAAAGCAAGTCTGTGATGTAATCGATATTTCAACGTGAATAAAAGCTGTTATAATTTTTCTTCATTTTGATGTGGTTGATATACAGCTTTGATGTAAAAAAAAAAAAAAAAACATGGACCAAGGCATCCTTAGCAGTTATCAAGGCCAAACTGATTTAATGTTATGGATGCCATCCAAATAATGCCAGAAGGCCAAAAAAAAAAAAAAAAAAAAAAAAAAAAAAAGAAAAAAAAAAAAAAAAAAAAAAAAAAAAAAAGGAAAAAAAAGGAAAAATGTTGCTAAGTAAAAGAATACACAGCTGGAAACGCAATCTGAACCACAAAACACTGTGTATCAATTCGCGGTGAAAAAACAAAAGAGTAAGCAGTCTTCTGCTTTAATTTTCTCAGTATATGAAACAACCTTTCTTCGAGCTGAGAGTATTAAAGAATCGTCTGCTTCACATGTGAAGAATGAGAATGCTGTACAATGTATATATACTGTAAAGCCAACATATACCTCAAACCCCCCTCATTTCTCTCGTCGTTGGAAAAGGAACCTGTGCGAGCCGCTCCTGATAAAACGTCTGCAAAGTTGTCTGGACGATAGTCGCTCGCCGCCGCTAGTCTCTCGTGAATTTTTTATTTTTTTTTTTTTTTTATTATTTTTTTTTTTTTGACGAGGAGGATGCGGCCGCCATTTTTGAACGTTTGGCGGCAATTTTACGCATGTGCATTTCAGGTTTTGCAGTAGAAGATAAACGAGATTTACGAAAACCCAGGATTTTGCGGCATTTTTAGTTGTACACACATACGGTGACAGGAGTCAGTTCCTTAGTTCCGATTAGATGATTTTTCTTTAAGAACAGGTTAAAATTAATGCTCGCGCGGATTTTATCCATATAATTAAATCAGTGTGGCCTTATAGGTTTTCAATTTGATAGCAAGTCTTCTAGTGAGGCCTCATTAATGTTTCATTAATACTTGTACGTTTATAATACGTTAATATTAATAGGTTTTAAAACAATTTGATATTACTATGAAAGTGATTAAAACAAGGACTGACGATGTTCCTGGTGATTACTTAAAATTGGAACTATTGGAAGAATAGATCTTATACAATTTGATTTTAAACAAAATATGAATTTTCCGTATCAGTCGTACCTACATTTCTGAACTACTTATCAGCCCACAGATATAGCTATATCATAAATAAATTAGAGTCCGCTGGCACAAGAAAGCTGTCACAGTAGAGTTACTATACTATCAGCAATTGAACAGCTTTATCACTGGGTTAGACTAAGCGATATGAAACTAAACATAGTCAAAGCAAAACTAAGAGTATTGAATTTACCCACGTTATACATAAAGAATCTAAGGTGCTTGTCGATCTAGCTCTAGATTTGATGATCAAATGTTTCCTGCTTTGACCAAAGTTAAGTCAGAATTTGATGTTTTCAAAAAAAATAACACATATTTAACATATGAGTTTGAATATGTTTACAAGAGGGGCTTATATGCATTTTGCAAAATTAAACCTACGAGGAAGTCTTACAGAATATTGACTGAAAGACCCTAATGACATATCTTGAGATTTTTTTCTATTTCTCTGCAAATTCTAGGATGCGAAAGGTCGTGTATTTTACTAAAAAGAAAGCACAGCTAGGTACCTTAGAAAAATGAGCAAATATCGTCTTACAACTATAAGTACACGTACATGTAGGAGCTACAAGTGCAAAGGTGCTTTTACGGCAAAATAAGCACATGTACACATTTAAGTACCGCCAGCATTTCATTGTCAGCTGCTGAAGCTAGGCTATACTATCACAACGTGAAGTGATGCTCTTCTATTTAATCTGCTTAATATCAAGTGACTTAATTGAAGTACACATAGAGTTATTTAAATCAGGCATTTTACAGCAATTACATGTACACCCGCTATGAAATAGAGTAAAAAGTGCTAAGCAATTCAGAGGTTTGGAATCTCAGTGAGACACATTGCAACTAAGGGGTGAATTGAATCTGATACTGGACTTACGACGAAATAATTCAACAACCCAGCATAGACCGGGAGCGGTGACATAGATAAGGAGACTTATTTGGACTGAAATGTCCAATTCTGAATTTGCACTTTCTCTGGTAAATTAGGATGCAGATCAAAGTAAAAATCTGCTGTGAGATTTGAATACTAAATGAACAACTATATTGCAGTGTGGTAAATTTATGGATGAATAATTGAATATGTAATTAAAAGAAAAGACAACGATGGCTTAGTTTCGATCGTAGCTGTCGCCATGGACCTACCGCTGCAACACAGGAAACCTCAAGCTGTGTGCGCTGTTTTCGGTCACTCCTCAAACATGACCAGCCTGTTGCTGATGCGGCTTTGCCCAGGGGAAGCAGGAAAATGCCCTAGGCTCAGTGGATGGCGCACGTATTTCAACAAGTACCTTACTGGTTAAGATAAGTACTTTGCACATTTTTACCGCAGACATTGTTTTTATTTCTGTAAGTTCGTTACTTGCAAAAAAATTTCAAGTCTATTGGCCTGCTCTTTTGTTTGTGTGTGGTCAAATTTTTATAATTTTTTTAATTTTTAATTTTTTTTTAATTTATTTATTTTTTCTTTTAGGCAGTGATAAGGAGGTTTAAGGCAGTAATTAGGAGATTTAAGGCAGTAATTAGGAGATTTTTGCCAACGCTAACAGTAGCCCTAAGTTTACCAAGTTTTCAATGAATGACACCCGGATGGTTAAAAGTTTTTAGGGAATTTTATTCTCAATTAGGGCAAAATTATATTTTCAACCTTTACTCATGGAGTTTAATTTATTCATTAATTAAAATATGAATTTACTTGGAAAAGATTTTCATTAAAGTATGAATTTACTTGGAAAAGATTTTCATTAAGATTATATTTATTGTCTATACGTAAAAATTCCAGAAAAAAAGGTTGAAAAGTTAACATGAGGAAACCCATTGAATTTTTTAAAAAGAATTTTGTATTTTTGCAAGTTCTGGATGTAACCTCATCAATTTACTTGAAGTTGATGACCTCTGCCAATATGTACTGATTTTAAGGGGGGTCAATCAGCTTCAAAAATCACACGTTTACGTTTGATATACGATGCTTAGGAGTTTCATTGTGATTTATTGCTACTTAGGACACTGTGTTGACATAAAAATATAAGACTGACTAAACGCCCATTATTAATGGGAGATAATATTTAAAAATAGCTGTCTGTTCAGTTTAACTATGATGGTAAGTCCCCCGAGCTGTGGATTTACAAGTAAGGGAGATTGATTTACATTTAAGAATTTTACAGTTTGCCAGTTCTTTTCAAAGACTGAGTCGATCTTTTCAATGGGTAAAAATATCAATATTTTTGGGAATTCTCAGTAGAAATGATGGTGCCATCCTCCCTGATCTATACCTGCCTTTTCCTAAGGCGATTGGGGGTGGGGGTGGGGGGGAGCAAGTACACTGTATATCTCCCAAATAAAGGCTATTCGCCTGGATAATCTCATTCCCTGATGAAGGTGCTCTGCCACACATAAAAATATAATAATTTTCAATATTTTACTGTTGATTGAAGAAAAAATTGCTTTATGCAGATGCATAACTTTAGAGTCATTTAAAAAATATATATATATATATATATATATATATATATATGTGTGTGTGTGTGTGTGTGTGTGTGTGTGTGTGTGTGTGTGTAGTATTTGTATTTTTCTGTTTAGAATAAAAGCATCAGGTAGCTCTTTTTCTAGTTTTGTTGATACCACTCAATGGGAATGTTTTAATTTTAATAATTTATGACCTCATGGCAGAGACTGAGTCATTATCGTATTTATTAGATCTATGTACTAGAGTTCGCAAGAAACTATCACCTCCGTCAAGGGGGTTATGTTTTTGGTCCCTTTATTTAGTTATTTATTTAGTTAGTTAGTTAGTTTATTTGTTTGTTTGTTCCCAACATTGTGCAAAACGCAACGGGCGGACCTGAAGAATTTTTAAGGATCACTGATGGGCCAAGGAAGAAATGATTAAATTACCATTGAGACGCGCTGTGCTTTGAAGCTCCACAAGCAGTAATAATTACGTCTTGGTCTATTGTAATGGTACTCGTCACCTCTGACCTGACCTCTGACCTGACCTCTGACCTGACCTCTTGCACCTTCACGTCACTCTACGTTGATGCCACGCAACTTTTAATAATTATCTACGCATTTACGTCACCCACGCACTGGATCGCTTACTGCATTGAATTGAAAAGGAGAAAAAAAAATGAGCGGGTATGGTACTTTACTGCTCTATTTGTAGTTTATATATATATATATATGACTATCATTATCGAAAGTACTTTTCACAATACCGGCATGTCAAGCAGTCAAAATAGAATTGAGAAGATACCGCAAACACTTTTATATTTTCATGGATCACGAGAGAGTGTGATTTAACTTATGATTGATAATTCGAGTTATTTATCTAGATGATATTGGCCAGATATGATAGGGTTATTTGCTTTGATCTCTTAATTTTGAAGTAAACGCAACGGACTGCAGATCTGACACATTCAAGGGGATCTTGTCCCCGAAGCCTGGACAGTGTTGTTAAAAGTGGGATAATGATCTTTATAAATATTGGTACTACTAAACAACTCCAATTGCCATTATACTTATTATTCTAATAAAGCTTTGTATTTAAAAGAAATCACGCACTTTTCAGTATAAATTGGGGAATGACAAGACACGTGGTGTATTGGGGGGGGGGGGGGTAGTTAAAATCAATTTTAATATCAGTGTGTGCCGGAGTGTGTGAGAGTCACTTAAGAAAATGATGTTTTTAATGACTTTGTATGTACTGTGGTCATGTTGTACTGTGTGTGTGTGTTAAATAAACGGCTTATAAAACCCACTTTATCAGAACTCCGGGATTTAAGGCTAGGTAGTGTACCTGAGTTAGGTATCATCTATTGAATTAGCACCTTTGGGGCAGCGCTGACCAGTACTCTGTTTGTATAACTCCTCGGCCGTCTCATGCTATTTGGGGTCTGGTACTATTATATTCGAAAATATATGGATGGTAACTTGAATAAAAATTTTCATATTATCTGATGCAACCCCAAACCAATGTTGAAACAGATTGCCTGATCGTCACTCAAATGTTAAGGGACATATTTTATTCCAACCGCTTATATATTATTCATATTTCTGATGTATTTACCTACGCATCGTCTTAATTGACAGGGCATATCCAAGTTGAATGCGGGACTTCAAAAAAGAATTATCTGTCTCATCTGTTTTTTCCTTCCATATGCTGCATTGAATAGTTTCTGATATTAAAATCATTGACTATACTTTAGCTCTGTTTATCAGAAATATACTGACCAAAAAAAAAAGAAACGCAAATCTTTGTTTTGAACACAGTGCTTCAACATGCCCAAAAATGAACATGCTAGTATGACCGGTGCATTCAGTGACAAATCACCAGTTTAGCCTGTCAATACAGAAATGATACGTTTGAGTGATTCCAGAGAATGGCTAGCTTTAGATTTTCCGAAATTTCATCTGAATACTAATTGGGACAAATGTGCTGCAGGTATCAGTTGTCCACCATAACTGTAGTGGACAATGGACTCAGAAAACCAACTTTTGGAGACTGAATTCCATACTGACATCATGACTCGATGGTCTGCACTGGACAGAGGTCGTGCAATTGGCCATTGCCATTGGCCCAGTGTTATGGTTTGGGCGTAAGTGGCAATTTCCAGTCTGAAACTCCTGGTGATTGCAGTAATTGTGGAAATCTTACTGGCCAGTGGTAGAGAGATAATGCCCTAAGAACGGCTGTTGTGCCATTCATGCGTCAGCACCCAACCCTACGCTAGCTCCAGTACGACAACATCCATTGTCATACTGCCAGTAAAGACCAGGCGTACCTGCAGCAGGAGCAGATCCAGACTTATCTGTGGTCAGCGTTAAGACCAGACATGTCTCCGACTGAGGATGTCTGGGATGAACTGGGCAGACGACTTCATGACCGCCAACCACAGCCTACCACCGTCATAGAGTTGAAGAGCTGCACTGGTGGAAGGTCTGGTATGGTCCATGAGGAGGATACTAGCGTGTATTGCAGGCAGGGGAGGGCACACAATAAGAGTATTATAATACCGTTTATGCAGAAATATTAACAAAAATGCGTAGGTCTAAACTATACACATAAAATGCCTGATCTTCTTTCTTTTTCTTTTTTTGCCAGTATATGTATATGTCACAGGCTAAATTGAAATCCAGACCGATTTTAAATTTTGAAATCCAAATCTTGCGTAGGCGATTTTAAAATGAGACTAGGCCAGATTTTCAAATCCCAATTGCAAGTAACATATCTTTAAAAAATTATAAATACTTAAATTTCTTCCCTAATATAGGCATTTTTGTTAAAGAGTATATGGCTAATAGCATTTTAGTTAACTATTTTGCATACAGGTGATCACAAAGCTTTTCCATTCATTTTTTGCCCCACATACGGGTTCTTTGGGCTGCATTTTAGTCCCATATGTACTTTTACAGATATTGCAGTTCATTTTCTTTTTTGAATTTATAAAACACAATCATTAACTGATCTAATTATAAGCAGTTGGGGATAGAGGCCTACGTAGATGTTTCATGTTATCACCAATAATTTGGGAAATCTTCGCTTGTGATATGATAAATTTTATGAAAAATACTTGCGGTCTTATGTGTAAATATGACTAACTGATCAATTATCTTATAATTAATTCATGTTTTCGAAGAATCACATTTGATATGAAACTACCTTTTTAGGTCTTATGTCTTTCAGAGTTCCGTGAAGCAGGCTGGCATTTGAGATGTAGTTGTCAAACACAGGAATTAACGCCCTCTTAAGACGTAACGACATACATGTATTCGCGATAACTACTTTTCGAGTATTCTGATATGTATATATAAATATATATTGTAGGTTTATTAGATAATTAAAGCCCCTTCTCCTATTTAGAATTCCACTGGTCCGGCTGGCATTTCAGCTGTAACTGTCAATCATAGGCACACCCACTGAAACAACGCATGCGCGATGACTGCTTTCTGTGTGGTCTGTGTGTATATATATTCCAGTTTTGTTAGAACTACAATTATTGCGTGGCATTTTTCTGAACAAGAAGGTAAAATATCTCTCATCTTCTCGCTGCTCCAAAATGCTGCCAATAGCTGTTGCATTTGTTTTGCTTCTCTCTCAACAACTGGACCAAACCGGTGAGTATTCAGTTTAATTCAGTTTCTTTGCACTTATGCACTCTTGCCTTATGCTATGAATTGAACTTGAACGCGATGTTAATATGAAAACAAAGGGATTACTCTTTGAAACATATTAATGTTTGAAAATTAGTGTACTCAGTAATCATATCGTTCATTCTTTGTTGCTTTGGTTCTTATACTGAAAGATGATGTTTAAAAAGACAATTTTATGCTAAACATGTTAGACCGATGTATAGATTAGAGAAAATGGGGTAAGATATGAGCACATAATAATGGGGCACTTAAGGGGAATTGTAACCCTTTATCATCATTCAGATACCGAAAATGAGTTTTTTCGTGCATCTCATTATTCAATAATGCACCTATCTTTGTGCTGATTAAAAATCCATCCAAAATATAAAATATTATATTTCTCGTAGCAATGTATAAACACAGGCAACTCAAAGTTTTAATCGTTAACTTAACACTTTTCTATTTTGAGATGAGATAGCAAGATATCATCAAGAAAATTGTTGACCACGAGTGGACGTCATTTTGGTTTAAACGTTTTTGTTATGGAGTTATGAGCTCCTAATTACAGATTTTCATTAAACATAGGCACTATTTTGCTTTATCAACGATAAAATCTGAGCTAAGGCATTTAAGAAAATTCGCTGGCAGGAGTTTGGAGCTCTAAATGGTGGCATTAAATTGGCGTTGAGACGGTGATCGTTGATGCTCAGGCATAAGAGCAACTTAAAACGAATTTTTCAGCATTTTTACCCAAAATCACAATTATGACTTCACCCATAAGATGACATATGTGTAAATGTTAGTTAATTTAGTCACTGAACACTGAAGATTTAGCTATTACCCAAAAGAATGTAGGTAAGGCAGTAAAGAAGGAGTTTATGGCGAAGGGTGACATTATCCTTAATAAAAGCGTTGTTATGTCCTGACATACAAGTTTTCATTTTGACTGGTAACCTTCAACTGACACAGGATTCGATTTGTTAGTTTTTACTGCCTGGACAAAGGCAGAACCAAAGTACCGTAAACATAACAACGATCATTCAGCATATGTTTTGCACACACTGGCATTTAAAATATATATATATATATTTGCATTGTGTATAACAGTCTGAGTGCTCATACTCTGCCACCCGACGGTAGATGTTTCCATAACTGGACTTTGGTACATGTATGTAACGGCGCTGCACAAGAAAGCCCAACACTGATTTAATCGTTGGACGATTTTATTGGATTATGGAAACCAATCCAGGCGGAAGTATTCCTCATTAACATTAAAAAAACATCAATTAATGCTTGTTTTAAAGCTTTATACAATTATAGACTTTGGCTGAGATCACGTCTTGGTTCGAATTAAGAAAGAGCTGGAAAGGTGACCGACGCCGAAGGGAGGATAATGTTTACTAATTCCATAGAGGGGCATAGATAAAAAGTATCTTACGGCGCGCCTAATTAACATAATATATAGAAATGCTTAAGGTGTCATCCTACCACGGATGAATAAAGTTTTGGAAAAATTGATTAACGGGGATAAAATCGGATTTATTAAAGGAATTTAGGCACAACCGGGTGAGAATAATGGTCTTGCACACGACACCATAACTTATGTTTCTGAATAAAGGATTTTCTGAAATCTTATAGTTAACACGATTTTGAAAAAGATATTACCCTTTTTGGCATCTACCGTTTATAAATGCAGTTTGTTTCCGTTGAAATATTTTTCTAGATAGACATCTTCGACCGAGTACGTTTATGCCTGTTTTTAAGTGTCGTTGATGATTGTTCAGATCAGTAGGAAAGGTTATTTTCTTAATATTTTAGATGCCTGTAACTGTGTGCCTTGGGTGGGACACACCGATGACATATGCATAGCTTCTGGTTATGAAAACTGCACTACTGGGTACAAAAATCACACGGCGTCGTCGCCAACTGATTTGATAAATAAATGTCGCGACATTTCTCCCGATGGCTCTGGCCAACCTCTCACTATTGTCAGCTTAGAAGAGTATAAAGCATTGGAAAGATACCTTCAAGGAATTGGTAAGTTCCCTGATATCAGTTCATTTTTAATTAGCAAATTAGAATTATTGCAACAAACATGGTTCACCCATCTTTATACTAATGAATGAACAGTATCTTCTGCATCAAAATGATATTTTATTAATTTTTTTCTTATGGTAAGGCAAAATAAGATGGGACATTCACTGAATATCATTTTACCACTTTTTAGGTTACGGCTACACAGAGACTTCTCCGCGTTTCAGTTGCTCTCAGATGTATTCTACTCTAGCCGTAGTCACTGCCTTGAATAGTACACACTTGACATGCACATTTTCTACTAGTAAGTAAATATCAGTTGGACACAATATACGATTCTTCATTGATAAACACCTTCACATACAAGGTACAATCAATGATAGCACATCTAACTATATAATAAAAAGTTGTTCACTTTTACCTACAGGTACGAACCGTGATCCCCGCAGTTGCAGAAAATGGCATTCTGGGTTTTTTGTTCCATTGCCATGACATTGCATCATTAAATATGCATCTGGAACCACTAAATATAAACACTTATTTTTCTTAATATACACCTCGATCTAATGCAAGTGTAAGACGGAACATGTAAAAATACACAAACATTTTCAAAGAAACGTTACAAATATTGGTAGGTTTACATGTCATTAAATTACAGCTCCTCCCGTTGTGTGGATCTTGGACTTGACGACCCCAAATGCGACAGATATTTTGGAGGATAATCCTGTTATAGGTGAGTAAAACGATTCCTTAACACGGAAATCTATCAGCGTTTTAAAAAGAAATAATCTCGGATTAAATTCATGGTTTCTAACTAATATACATGTATATGACGTCACTGCTGGGGGGGGGGCATATACCAAATAAAATTAAGCTAGAAATGGATATATTGCATTGTTTTTATGTGGACCAAAGCGCACAAAATATCTTCATTGTAAATACGTAATTGGGATAAGGCTAGGGTCCAAAACATCTCAAAGTCACAAACCCTTGGGCAGAATTATTTAAAAACACGTATAAAATGGTATTTGTTACACACGTGGACATACATGCCCAACGTCAATTTTTTTCAGACGACGTTCTTGTGCTACACTTCAAAGCAAGCCCAGGCGATGTGGTTGGAGTGGGTAACACCCAAAAATTAAAGATGAAGTTCCGGTCCCACTTTTCTGGCGAACACTTAACCATCTGTTCTATGCCTCAAGGGAGTTGTCCAAGTAAGTTTATTCAATAACATGTGCTGACTGTATTTAGAATTGACGTTATGCACAAAGCATCCAAGATAACCGAGGCTTGTGACTGAAGACTTTCCGATTAATATTTTATAGACTAAGCGTTTAATTAAACAGATTGATCTTAAGGTCATGTTTTTGGTTCTTTGAGGTCTGGCAGCATGTTCTTGTTTAATTAAGACAGCTTGGCATGTATAAGTTATTATTATTTTTTCTTTGATATCGCAGTTATTCCTTTAGATAGCCCTAACGGTTCTTTATTAACAAAAGTATTTGCTTGCTCCATTGATGGACTGTATTCATTTCCAGAAAAAATGTAATTGTGGCTGTGCATTTAGCAGAAATAAGGCAGCCAACTGTTCATCAACAATACTTAATTTAGCAGTAAATGTGTTAGCTTTCAAATTTCAAATGTTTTTACTATATTATTGTTTAACCAGTTTCCCTAAATATGGATTTGAAGATGTGCCTTTACTATAGTATTAACCTATAGGCAGTCATAATACATGTACATTGAATTGTGTAAAAGAAATAAGTCCCAGAGATCTAATCCATTGCAATGTAGAATATAGTTTTTGTAGGTAACCATAGGTTTTTTTTATCGGAATGTGGTATGTTGTGCCTGTTGAAACCCCCAAACCATTTAGAAACGTTAGATGTGGAATCACCCAAAGAATAATGACTTGAAAAATACTTAAGCCAATTATACATGTTTTATTTAAACAAGAATCACCCTGCTTTGGTGGTCACTGGTGTGTGTGTGTGTGTGTATGTGTGTGTGTGTTAAATGTATTTAAATTACTGTTATAAACCAAAAATTGTCATTTAATATGTCATTTTACCTTTTTCAGTGGGTCAGTGTATAATCAGAGGGGACCCCCACATTAAACAATTCGATGGGAATCAGTTCCTTTTCAGTGGGTTCTGCAGATATATACTGTCAGAAACCATGCCAGGAGCAGCCGAGGAATTCAACATAACCGGCACATTTGTCTATAATAAGCCTGGCAGTACTAGGACCATGATCCAGGAGGTTTTGATACATGTGCGCAATATGACCATTGAGATGAGCACAGATGGAACAGTAAAGGTGCGTGTGATCAGTCATTTTCAGTAATGAAAAACGTAGAAATATTTAGATTGGTTTCTTAAACAAACACGCACGCACGCACGCACATATATATATATATATATACCGAAGTGCAAAACAGTGTTCGGCAAACCTTTTTCTGAAATATCAAATCTCATGTACAAACAATTAAAAATTATCCACATGATATGTTACCAGTACAATGTAACATTTCTAAATGCGTCATGACAAACTTCAAAATTCATTTGCATGTATTTTGTACTCCAGGTGGACGAAGTTGTTGTTGTCGCAACAATCGCACCACAAGACGTGGGACACGGTGTGATGTTGTATCTCGACCCAACAGACTTCCCGAGGACTGTCGTGGACTTGCGTGGTGTTTTGAAAGTTGAACTCACCACCCCTGTTGGCGCATTAAAACGTAAAGGACATAGAGCCATCATCAATATTCCAGGTAAAATGCCAAAAACTGTACTTTGACAGAGAAGTTGCCCTGTGACAATCAGAAGTAAGCTAAGATGACAATAGGCAAGCTTATTTAAGGGTCTCATATGAAGCCAATGTGTTCAATGCGGCTAAAATGTGAAATGAAAATAGTCTTCTATGTTAATAATGGAAAATAATCTGAATAAATCATTGTTATATAGTTTATTTTTAAAATCTCTTTACAACAGAAACATATGGTGGCTATCTGAATGGGTTGTGTGGAAATCTCAACGGCGATGCCTCTGACGATGATAATCCCTGTGATGGAGGCCCACCTGCAGATTGCTTTGTAGATGACGACAGGTAAGTCATTCTCCCATTGTGCCACCACCGTGCATGTGACTGTTAAATCATAAAGTTACCTATTAAGTCAAATCTTTGCCACTTAATCCGACCAAACGCCATCATATACTGTAGTTTCAGAAAGCATAACTTGACGCATTTACAGTGAAAACGATGCCACAAAACCCGACCAAACGCTACCATATAGGTTCAAATCTCAAACTTAGAAAAATTTGCGTGGATTTATTCTGCTTTTTCTCTGTGCTATAAGTATCCCTCATCAGATTCATTTGTACAAGTGTGCAATTGCACACGCAGCTTTACATCCTTATTTGGGAGTGAGAGTGATAATTATGCTCTATGCTGCATCATTTAGCAAACAAGCTTCTGACCAGAAATTCGAAAAAAAAAGAGCAGAGTTACGGCTATTTTCAAGACTGACAATTTTTTATATACACTAAGACAAATTCTGATGATAGAAACAAAATTTCCAATGTGATGTCTATCTCTGACCATCTACAGATTGTATCATATTTTGAATCCACATCTTTCAAGTACACGTTTTACTTTGTCCATTTCAGCTGCGCCTGAAACAGCCCCATGAAAGAACACCAAGAACAATGGAGGTTTACAGCCAAGAACTTAGAAAATCTACTGGAATTATCAAGTTGGGTTTAATTGTACTATTTTAATCAATTGGAACTACATGTTTTAGCATATGAAATTAGGTATCATGCATTCTTTTGTCTTAGAATTGTCAGTGCTCTTTATTTCAAGGACACTTAAATACATGGCCTGTATTTTTTACTTTAAAATGTCTGGAATAACTAATGAACTGTGGATGTTAGAATACTTAGTGCAAAGGCTATCGCTGTATTTTAATTACGTAGGGATCTTTTGAAGAACTTGTGAAGAACTTGACTAATGCCCGACCCGTGGCTTCTAGGAAATTGTTGTATATACCATTACTGTATTTTAATTGTGCAGGTAAAAGGCACATTGATATTCCAAAAGTGCTTAAATTTCATTAATTTGGAACTGTGTGACAAATCAGTGTGGGTATCACACATTTTTGTCATTAACTTGTTTTTTTTTTCACCAAGGATATAAGGAATAATATTGTATATTCACTACTAAAAGAAAAGATAAAAGGATTTTTAGCTAATCCAAAGTAAACTATTACCAAAGTTCTTTTGGAAAATAAGTGGTAACTGGGGATGTTAGAATACTTGGTGCAAGGACTATTTTAATTGTATTTTAATTGGGTACTTTACAGATACACTGACACAGAAAGGCTATTGAAAATTCATTAGGATTTTTTATTCGTTGTAAAAAATTCATATTAATTAGGGGTTCTATTTGCTTAAATTTTGTGTTTTGGGACATTTGAACTTCAGTAGCAATCAAGGAAGATATACGTGTAAAATTCATATTAATTGGGGGCTCTTTTTACTTACATTAAGCGTTTAGGGATACATCTATGTACATGTTATAATGTGGGAAGATATTCAAATATCATGTTAATTGGGGTATTCTTTCAACTTCAATTTTAATCTGGGAATTTATTGTGAAAACATGGAAATAAAACTGGTATTCAAATTAGTTTTGTCTTGTTTCTTTTCTCTTTCATTAAAAATTACGTTTGAACACTAAAATTATTCATTTTACACCAAATTATTTTATGTATGGAAATGTGTTTGGGATAAAAAGACAATAACTTCCTATTATCTATTGATATTTTAACGTATTCTGCACACATTTGAAATTGAAGTCATTTTTTCATCCGACAAGGCTTTATATTATTTTCCCCTTCTGACTTCAAAGACAATAAATTCCTTTAATAAAAGTTTATCTGAAGTGTAGCTAACCCACATAACGTTTTCATAACGCTATCAAAAGGTTTCGTTCTGGCAATGGCGTAGTAATACTAACTTTGTATTTGTGCAACAAAAAGCATGGCCCACTGGACAGAAAAAGGGTTAAGGTAACGTCCTGATAACTTTGTTGAAAAGATTTAAAAAAATTCTATTAAACGTTACAATACCGTTATCTTGAGTAGACTTTTAATGATTTTACGACGTGAGACGTGTCCAATCAAACCTTCATTGTCATAATGATTCGTCTTATTGTTGTCAATTTTTACGTCAGTTACATAATTTCTCTTCACTTTTTCATACTTCCTTTATTGTCCTCATAATAATCATTTTCATTTACCTTCTTGCTGTCCATTCTTTTTTTACTTCGGTGACATAATTCCCTTCATTGCCCTATTAAGGTTCATTCTTATTCATAGCGTTGTCCATTTCTGGTTTGTATTACCCCTTCATTGCATGCAGTGGTTTTTAACATCTCAGTATCGGAGGGTTTCAACAGATAAGCATCACTCTTGCTTCATTCTTTATCATCCCCCTGCAGCCCTCTGCCCTACATCAGCTTAAATGTTGCTTTACGCTTTTTTTATTCCCAGCTTTTCTTTATTGTCAAAATTCATGGCTACATCCCTTATAACACCCCAAATATTTCTGAGAGAATTCAACACTGAAAGTCATTCCTCTTTTATTTGAAACAGAGGTGTACTAGAAATCTGGGTCTTACATTCTTGATTCCACCCAGACAATCTGGCAGCCTGCTGTAGATGTCTGGGTATCCATATACTGGTACTCTTCATCATATCACATGCTGGTTTTTGCCATTGTTGACTGCCTGTTTGTCTCAGCTGCTTATAAGGTAGAAACTGCTGAGTGCGCAATTTTTGTAATAACCATTCTAATGATTTTGTTTGGTTATATAGATCCTTTGGCTGCATTTGACCAATAAGATAATTGAGACATGCAATTTTAATTTTTCAAAGTTTTGGTAAATACTTCATTCTTTTTGCTGCGTCCACACCTTTAAAGTGTTTTTTCTGTATCTTCACCTCTCTATGTGTCTCCCTCTCTCTGACTCCCTGCAACCTCTTTATATACTTTTGAAGTCCTTAATTTAAGTTTATTTATATTATGTATATTGATATAAATGTATATAGCTGGTCTTTTCTCTAAGTTTTTTTCCACGAATTAATAAAATGTATAATAATAGTGAATTAAACAAAGAATTAGGTATAAAATGCAATCTGCAAAACACTGTAAATGAACATATTAAAAACTATCTGGAATCATCTACAATGTCTGTTACCATGGAAATATATCGTAGACTGGAAAGAAATCGGTGGAGGGGGGTGAACTATTTACAAGCATTGATTTGTATTTTCAGTTCTGGTCAAAGTAAAAAGAACCTGTAACTTCTATACTTTATGCAGCCTGAGTGGCACATCATGGGCCTGAGAGGATAAAATCTGTATCAAAAATCATGCTGTGTGTAATGTGGTTTAAATTATCCAAATTTTGAGTTAACTTGTAGATAACATGGAGTATTGGAAGCTTTTTCTGAGGTTTTTGCAAAGCAGCAGGAGGTTTTCGTGGTTTCCGTTTACCACCATGACTGGCTCAGTTATGGTTATTCTCGCTTATTCTCGCAAGTTAACGGATAAGTCTAAGGATTTTTACAGTTGACCCCCCCCCCCCCCCAGGCACTGTCACTATTACTTTTTGTCCTGCCGCCTAACACACAACGGGCGACTTTTACCAATCGGTAAAAGAGTCAGCAGCCATCTGCTTTATCTCAGTATATGAAACAAAAAGTATGTCTTCGCGTTGACAATATTAAAGAAGCGTCTGCTTCATATGCGTATCATATGATCTACTGAGAGTGCTGCATTACCACTTAAAATGCTCCATATACCTTTAACCCCCCCCCCCTCTCTCTCGTCGTTGCAAAGGAAACCTGTGCATGTGAGCCACTCTGGATAGGACATCTGCAAAGTTGTCTGGACGATAGTCGCTCGTTTGGCATGTCAATGACACCCAATGCAACTACCGGTGAGCGGTGAATTAAATCTGATACTGGACTAACGACATAGATTATGAGTTTACACCGAGTAATGAAGCCAAATATATATATACGGAATAATGGGAGACCCTCAACCCGAGGAAAGCTTTTATGTGCGCTATTGTTTATGAGCCTTATTTGGACTGAAATGTCCAGTTCGGGATTCGCACAATCTCTGAAAATAGAGATATAGATCAAGGTTAAACTTAATGCCAGGTTTGAATTCTTAATGAACAACTATAGTCGCCAGACATCGCAGTGTGGTAACATTATGTATGAATAATTGAAGGTGTAACTGAAAGAAAAGGGGAGATGTCTTAGTTTCAATCGTAGCTGTCGCCATGGACCTAGCGCTGCATCATAGGGGAAACAGGAAACCTCAGGCTGCGTGCGCTATCTTCGGTCACCTCTCAAACATGACCAGCCTGTTACTGATGCGACTTTGCCCAGGGGAAGCATAAAAATGCCATGGGCTCAGTGGATGTTGTACGTATTTCAACAAGTAACTTACTGGTTGAGATAAGAAATTTGCTCATTTTTACTGCAGATATTAAGGTAAGTTTTTGCTTCTGTTGATTCGTTACTTGCAAAAAACTGCAAGTCTATTGGTCTGCTCGTTTGTTTGTGTGTGGTCAAATTTTCGTCCTGCGACAGAAACCAATTTTCCCTTTTTTTAGGTTGGTTATATACACAAGATGAACTGGCTGTGGTTCTCATAAAGATTGGAAAAGGTCGGTAATATATTAGAATATTTTAGAATTGATTAATATGATCGCAGCGGGAAATCCCAAATTTACAGGCCAGGGACGGTGGATCTGCAATTGAGGAATGTGTGCTGACAGACAGATCACACTTGAGGGTGTTTTTATCATCCAGATACCGAAAATGAGTTTTTCCTGCATCTCATTATTCATTAATGCATCTTGTGCTGATTAAAAACAATGAAAGTCCCCTCGAAAATATAACATATCGGCTTTTAAATTCCTCATCGTTTTGTATGATCATAGGCAACTCAAAACGTTAATCGTCAATTCATAACGCCTTTCTATTTTGAGGTTAAATAGCAACAGGTATGGGGCATAACTTCGTCCCCAAACACGATGTTATCACGAAAATTGGCATATGTGACGACTCGTGAATGGGCTTCAATCCCATGCCCCCATTTTGGTTTATATGTTTTGGTCAGGGAGTTATGAGCCCCTTAATTACAGATTTTCATTTAAAAAGGCTTTATTTTGCCTTATCAGCGATAAAATCTTAACTTTAGCTTTTTAGAAATATTTGTTGGCAGGAATTGGAGTTCTAACTGGTGTAATTAAAGTGGCGTTGAAACGATGTTCTATTTTATAGCTGTCTGATGTTAATATGGAGTAACCTCATAAAGGCGTAGTTATCTTTGCGGTGATAAGCCTACTACACATTGCCTGAAGTCTCCTTGAAAAGAGAATTTTGCGTAGGAGCGATCCGTCAATGTCATCCTAGGTATCATCGGTAGGATTTGCACTAGGGGGTAGCGCTGGCCAGTCCACTCTGTTGATATTTAACACTTCGGACGGGACTCGTGTTCAAGCCTGATACTGTTATATTTGAAAATAATTGGGTGGTAATTTTTATAAACAATTTCATATTTTCTGATGTAACCCCAAACCAGTATTGAAACAGATTTCCTGATTGTTACTTAAACGTTGTCAGGGACAGATTCTATTCCAACCGCTGATAAATTATTCTGCAATATTTACCTACGCATCGTACTCGCCTTACTTGAAGGAGCACATACAAGCTGAATGCGGGACATTAAAAAAGAAATATCTGTCTCTTCGGTTTTTCCTCGTAAATGCTGCATTAAATAATATCTGGTATTAAAACCTTGACTGCATTTTCTCTCTGTTTATTATAAATATACTGGCAAAAAAGAAACGCAAGTTTTTGTTTTGACCACAGTGCTTCAGAATGCCCAAAAATGCTAATGCTAGTATGGCCACTGCATTCAGAGACAGATCTCCATTTAAGGGTGTCAATTCAGAAATGACACAGTGCACGCTTGAGTGTTTCAAGGCAACGGTTATAAGATATATCTTAAGATGTTCTTAAATTTCATCTGAACACTAATTGGGACAAATGTGTTGCAAATATCAGTTGTCCACAATCAATGCTAGTGGACACTGGACTCAGAAGGAGACTGAATCCCAAACTGACATCATGCCACCGTGGTCTGGTCTGGACAGGGATCGTTTCATTCCGCATTGTCATTGGCAAAGTGTTATGGTTTGGGCAGCATAAGGGTTACATTTGAGATGCAGCTGTTAAATGCAGGAATTAACGCCCACTTAAAACGCCACAACGCATTTTAGATAACTACTCTTCGAGTATTCTCATATGTATTGGATAATTAAAGCTTCTTGTCCTATATAGAGTTCCACAGGTTCGGCTGACATTGGAGGTGCATCTGTCAATCACAGGTACGTCTGCTGAATAACGCATGCGCGATGACTGCCTTCTTTGTGGTCTTTATGTGTGTATATATATTGTAGTTTTGTTAGAAGTACAATAAGTGCGTGGCATTCTTCTTGACTGCAAGGTTGGACATCTCACATCTTCTCGCTGAGTCAAAATGCTGGCAATAGCTGTTGCATTCGTTTTGCTTTTCTCTCAACAGTTGGACCAAACCGGTAAGTATTCAGTTTTTTCACCTTATTCAAGTTGGCTATGCTATGAATTGAACCTGAATGCTATAATAATATGAAGACACAGTGATTACTCTTTGGAATAATTAAACCTATTCATGTTTGAAAATTAGTGTACCCAATTATCATATTGTTGATTTATTGTTGCTTTGGTTCTTATATTGAAAGGTGATATTCAAAAAGACAATTTTATGCTAAATATGTTAGACCGATCTATAGATTAGGGAAAGTTGGGTAAGATATGAGCAAATAATTATAGGGCACTTAATAAATGCATTTTTTTTTTGTTTTGAAATGCAAGGTTTCATTTTGACTGGTAACTTTCAACTGACATTGAAATCAATTTGATAGTTCTTTAACTGCCTGGACAAAGGCATTATCAAAGTGCCGTAAACATAGCAACGACCATAAGTTTTTGCACAAACTGGTATTTTTTCTGTTCCTCTTTTGTGTGGGTCTTGGACTTGAGGCGCCCAAATGCGAGCGACATTTTGGAGCATAATCCTGTTATAGGTGCGTAAAACGATTCCTTAACACGGGCATCTATCAGCGTTTTAAAAAGAAATCTCAGATAAAAATAGATTTGCACTATGAATTTTTTTAACAGCCTGAGTGCTCATTATCTGTCAATTAACGGTAGATGCTATCATAACTGGTCTGCAGACACATACGCAAACTGTGGTAAGCAACTGTGATGCGAAAGAAAACCAAACACTGATTGAAGCGGTTCGAAAAATTATTGGCCTTTGAAAACCAACCCAGGCGGAAATATCCTTCATTGCATACACCAAATTAATTGATGCTTGTTTAAAAACTTTATACAATTATAGACTTTGGCTGAGATCATGTCTTGGCTAAATTTAAGAAGCTGAGATAGGTGACCGACGATGAAGGGAGGTTAATGAGTATTCATTCCAAAAAGGGGCAAATATAAAACGTGTCTTACAGGGCCCCTCATTAATATAATATGCATAAAAATTCGTCGGGTGCCATCCTACCATGGACGAAGTTTTGGGCAAATTGATTATCGGGGATAAAATCGGATTTATCAAAGAAATTAAGGTACAGGTGGGTGAAGATTATGTTCTTGTATACGTCGCCATGAGTTATGTTTTTGAATTAAGAATTTACTTGATTTTTTTAGTTTACACGACACACACACACACACACACACACACACACACACACAATATATATATATATATAACTTATATACAGACTTGACATTTAATATGGAATTTTTTTTCCAAACCATTTGTCATCAGTTTTTTTCTCCTATTTTGCTGACTGTGAAATGAAATAAAGGATTAAAATTGTATTTTAATAACTTTTAATTATCTCTTTGACGTCATTGTGACATCAGTTCATTAATTGAATTCCCCAGTGAAGCAAACAAAAATACATTACCTATCCTATGTCATGCGACAACCATTAAAATAGATATTTTGGATCTCCATGTTTTCTTAATTGTTGTCTGTAAAAGAGTTACACGCTCCACAAAGGACCCTCCCGTCAGTGTCTAATCACAACAACGGTTGCTGTTACGCCTGACCTCATCTGGTTGCTACCAGCGCTCTCAAGCGGCAAAGCATTTATTGGGATAGCTTCTTAGAGTTCAATCTGGAATAACATTCCAGACATAGGACAAAACTTGTCCAATTTGGTCCAGTTTTGTTGTGGGACATGTAGGCCGTTGATTCGGCGAGTATAGGCTACCCACATATTGTTGACGTGGTTCAAATATGGCGAATTTGATGACCAAGGTAGCTGCTAATTCCCTTGGTGCTGCAAGTTATCTGCTTTTAAAAGTGCTCTGTGTGAACCGGTAATCTCACCGTGCAACCTAAAATTGTTTCTAAGGTGCCCCCTATCAAATGATAGTCAAGTGGTTCCCAGATTATTTCTTTATCTGATCTAAGGCTTTTAAGAAAAATCGCTGGCAGGAGTTTGGAACACTAAATGGTGGCATTAAATTGGCGTTGAGACGGTGATCGTTGGTGCTCAGGCATAACAGCAACTTAAAACGAATTTATCAGCTTTTTTACCCAAAATTACAATTATGACTTCACCCATAAGATGACATATGGGTAAATGTTAATTAATTTAGTCACTGAACACTGAAGGTTTAGCTATTACCCAAAAGAATGTAGGTAAGGCAGTAAAGAAGGAGTTTAAGGCGAAGGGTGACATTATCCTTAGTAAAAACGTTATTATGTCCTGACATACAAGTTTTCATTTTGACTGGTAACCTTCAACTGACACAGGAATCGATTTGTTAGTTTTTACTGCCTGGACAAAGGCAGAACCAAAGTACCGTAAACATAACAACGATCATTCAGCATATGGAAACCAATCCGGGCGGAAATATTCCTCATTAACATTTAAAAAAAACATCAATTAATGCTTGTTTTAAAGCTTTATACAATTATAGACTTTGTCTGAGATCACGTCTTGGCTCGGATTAAGAAAGAGCTGGAAAGGTGACCGACGCCGAAGGGAGGATAATGTTTACTAATTCCATAAAGGGGCATAGATAAAAAGTATCTTACGACGCGCCTAATTAACATAATATATAGAAATGTTTAAGGTGTCATCCTACCACGGATGAATAAATATTTGGAAAATTGATTAACGGGGATAAAATCGGATTTATTAAAGAAATTAATGCACAACCGGGTGAGAATAATGGTCTTGCACACGACACCGTAACTTATGTTTTTGAATAAAGGATTTTCTGAAATCTTATAGTTAATACGATTTTGAAAAAGATATTACCCTTTTTGGCATCTACCGTTTATAAATGCAGTTTGTTTCCGTTGGAATATTTTTCTAGATAGACATCTTCGACCGTGTACGTTTATGTCTGTTTTTAAGTGTCGTTGATGATTGTTCAGATCAGTAGGAAAAGTTATTTTCTTAATATTTTAGATGCCTGTAACTGTGTGCCTTGGGTGGAACACACCAATGACATATGCATAGCTTCTGGTTATGAAAACTGCACTACTGGGTACAAAAATCACACGGCGGCGTCGCCAACTGATTTGATAAATAAATGTCGCGACATTTCTCCCGATGACTCTGGCCAACCTCTCACTATTCTCAGCTTAGAAGAGTATAAAGCGTTGGAAAGATACCTTCAAGGAATTGGTGAGTTCCCTGATATCACTCCATTCTGAAATAGCAAATAAGAATTATTGCAACAAACATGGTTCACCCATCTTTATACTAATGAATGAACAGTATCTTCTGCATCAAAATGATATTTTATTAATTTTTTCTTATGGTAAGGCAAAATAAGGTGGGACATTCACTGAATATCATTTTACCACTTTTTAGGTTACGGCTACACAGAGACTTCTCCGCGATTCAGTTGCTCTCAGATGTATGCTACTCTAGCCGTAGTCACTGCCCTCAATAGCACACATTTAACAGTCACGTTTTCTACTAGTAAGTGAATATCCATTAGACACAATATCATAAAAAGCTATTCACTTTTACAGACAGATACCAACCGTGATTCCCACAGCTGTAGAATATGGCATTCTGGTTTTATTGTTCTGTCATTTTATCATAAAATATGCATCTGGAACCACAAAATATAAACACTTGGCATTTCTCAATATACGCCTTCATCTAATGCAGGTCTTAGACAGAGCTTGTAAAAATACATACAAGTTTTCAAAGAAAAAATATTTCAAATATTGGTAGGTTTACATATTATAAAATTACAGCTCCTCCCGTTGTGTGGGTCTTGGACTTGACGACCCCAAATGCGACCGATATTTTGGAGGAAAATCCTGTTGTAGGTGAGTAAAATGATTCCTTCACACGGAAATCTATTAAAATCATTAAGATCATGAGAAAGAAATCATTTCAGATTAAAGTTATGGTCTCTAACTAATATACACACATATGACGTCACTGTCGGGGCTATATACCAAATAGCATTATGCTTTGCATTTATATCTGGACCAAATCACACAGAATATCTTCATTGGAAATACATAATTAGGATAAGGCTAGGGTCCAAAACATATCAAAGTCACAAACCCTTGGGCAGAATTATTTAAAAGCACGTTTAAAATGGTATTTGTTACACACGTGGACATACATGCCCAACGTCTTTTTTTCTTCAGGGGAGGTCCTTGTGTTACACTTCAAAGCAAGCCCAGGCGATGTAGTTGGAGTGGGTAACACTCAAAAGTTAATGATGAAGTTCTTTTCCAACTTTTCTGGCGAACACTTAACCATCTGTTCTATGCCTCAAGGGAGTTGTCCAAGTAAGTTTAATTCAAATGAAATGTGTTGACTTATTTTGAAATGAATTAATGTATAAAGCAACTAAAACAACCGAGATTTTCTTACTGTGGTAGGCCCCTATTTCCGATTAATATTTTATAGACTTAGCGTTTAAAGTCATATTTTATGAAACAGATTGGTCTTAAGGTCACGTTTTGGGTTCTTTCTGGCATCATGTTCTTGTTTAACTAAAATAGCGTAACTTTTGTAAGTTACTTTTTCTGATATCTCATATTATTCCTTATGTTAGCCCTAAACCGTTACTCTTTATTAACAGATTTGTTATGAATAACAGAAAAACTATTTGCTTGCTTCATTAATGGGCTGTAGTATTTCAGAAAGAAGATTTAATTTTGGCGAAGCACGTAGCAGTAATAAGGCAGACAACTTTCAGACAACTTTCCGCGAATCTCTAAAATCTATTAATCAACAATAAATAATTAAGCAGAAAATGTGTTATTATATTCAGCCAATTTCCCTAAATATCTGAGTGGGTTAGCAGATGTGCCTTTAGTAAAATATACACAAAATCATGATATATGAACATTTAATTGTGTGAAATAAATTATTCTCAATTATTGAACGCCAAGAAGTTCCCATCTATTGCTAATAGTTTTAATTTGTAGTTAACCATAAGTTATATTTACCAGAATGTGTTTTTTGTGCCTTTTGAAAAACCAAAAACACTTTCAGATTTTAGATGTGGAATTCACCCAAAGAATAATGACTTAATAATGAATAATGACATTCGCCTATAATACCATGTATTATTTTATCTGAACATTGTAAACAAACATCAATCTACTGTAGGGGCCACTAGTGCGCGCGTGTGTTTATTTATTTATTATTATTTTTTTTTTTGAATTTTTTTTTAGTGTGTGTGTGTGTATGTGTGCGTAGTCAACTTATTGTTAGAAACCATATACTTGTCACTAAATATATCATTTTACAATTTTCAGCGGGTCAATGTATAATCAGAGGGGACCCTCATATTAAACAATTCGAAGGGGATCAGTTCCTTTTCAGTGGGTTCTGCAGATATATACTGTCAGAAACCCTGCCAGGAGCAGCCGAGGAATTCAACATAACGGGCACATTTGTCTATAATAAGCCCGGCAGTACTAGGACCATGATCCAGGAGGTTTTGATACATGTGCGCAATATGACCATTGAGATGACTACAGATGGAATAGTAAAGGTGTGTCTGAATGGGCTGATTAATAGTTATTTTCAGCAATGAAACGTGAAAACATTTGAATTGGTTTCTTAAACACACACACACACACACACACACACACGTTTATAGCGATGTGTAAAACAATTCATTTTCTGAAATCTCACGCCTCATATACAAAACAATATTTGATGACCCACACTATATGTTACCAGTAAAATGCATCGTTTCTGAATGCGTCATGACAAATTTCAAAGTTAACGTTTCCCAACTGCTTGTCTTTTATTTGCATATGTTGTGTACTCCAGGTTGACGGTGTTGTTGTTGTCGCAGCAATCGCACCACAAGACGTGGGACACGGTGTGATGTTGTATCTCGACCCAAAAGACTTCCCGAGGACTGTCGTGGACTTGCGTGGTGTTTTGAAAGTTGAACTCACCACCCCTGTTGGCGCATTAAAACGTAAAGGACATAGAGCCACCATCAATATTCCAGGTACATGTAAAATGTCAAAATTACTTAAACAGAAATAAAAAACCTATACATTCAATAGCTCTGGGGATGGGAGTAAAGTTATTATATTGTGAATGTTTCAACAAAAAATCTTTGGAAACTAATTGAAGGCCGATATTAATCTTTGTTTAAATTGCGATGATCTTGTCAACTTACAGCGTTGATAAATTTAAATTACAATGCCCTGTGGCCTTCAGAGCTTACCTTATGTAAAAATAGGCAACTCATTCAAGGGTCTCGTATGAAGCCAATGTATTCAATGTGACCGATCTAGTTTACCATATCTCCCGTTATTCTGAATGGTCACAAATTTTTGCATGTTGTTCTCTAAGGGGAATGGTCAGGATGACTTGATTGCCATATCTCTTAAGTGTCTCATACGGGTAATTTTATTTCAATATAATAGTTTAATTAACACTCGTTTCGTTTTATTGCAATAGGGTGGTTGTTAAATGTAAATAATCTTAAGAAACATATACCCATAGCTTCTGCACTAGTGATGTCTGAGTAAAAATGTAAAATGACAACCATCTTCTATGTTAATAATGAAAAAATCATCTGAATAAGTCATTGTTATTTAGTTTTTTTTTTTTTTTTTTTTTTTTTTTTTTTTTTTTTTTTTTTTTTTTTTTCGAAAATCTCTTTACTACAGAAACATATGGTGGCTATCTGAATGGGTTATGTGGAAATCTCAACGGTGATCCTACCGACGATAATAACCCCTGTGATGGAGGCCCACCTGCAGATTGCTTTGTAGATGACGATAGGTAAGCCATTCTCCCATTGTGCCACCACCGTGCATTTGACTTTAAATTATAAAGTTGCCTATGAAGTCAATTCTTTGCCACTTAATCCGACCAAACGCCATCCTATTGTTTCAAATAATATAACTTTGAGAAAAACCAAAAGATATATAATATAATATAATATAATATAATATCTATCTATCTATCTACTTCCTAAGCATATTAAATTCATTGCTCTTCTATACTCTTGTTTACTTGTGACTTTATTTAAATCACAAAGTTAAACCTACTCAGCTGCCTAGAGTGAAAAGGTTAATTTGGTCAAAGATGTCAAATTCACTGGTTAACCTTACTTATAACTTTTTCTTTAGTATATTTCCTTTGGGAGATATTATTTGCACAATTGGCGTAACTCTAGGGTTATTTAGGGAGATAGACTTGGGACAACAATGTTTTAAGTTTGATTCAAATTTAATTAAATTTATTTAAAATGTCAATAACAAGAAGAGCTTGCAAATTGACTTTAGCACATCCATGTTTCCTTAAAGACTAACAAAATTTTATATGCAAAACCTGATAATAGACACAGAATTGTGATTCCTATCTTTGACCATCTACGGCTTGTATCTTACTGTGAATCTACATTTTTAAATATACGTTTTATTTTGTCCATTTCAGCTGCGCCTGAAACCGCCCCATGAAAGAAAACCAAGAACAATGGAGGTTTACAGCCAAGAACTTGGAAAATCTACTGGAAGTATGAAGTTGGGTTTAATTTTATTATTTTAATTAGGGACTATTTTATTGGATCTACATGTTTTTAAATTGGATATCGTGTGTCTTATAATTGTCAGTGCTCTTTTTTACAAGGACACTTAAAACATGGTCTATACTTACACTTAAAAACGAGATACAAATTGATCTTTAGTAAAATGTCTAGCAAAGTTCCTTTAAAGAACTTGTGATGATCTGGCTTGAGTAATAACCGTGTGTTCTAACGAACTTGTTGCATATACCAATACTGTATTTAATTGTGCAGGTAAAACGCACATTGATATTCCAAATGTGCTTTAATTTCATTAAAGTGGAATTGTTTAACAATTCAGTGTGGGTATCACACATTTTTGTCAGTAACTTTTTTGTTTTTCACCAAGGATATAAAGAATCATATAGTTAATTTACACCTAAAAGAAAAGATAAAAGAATTTTAGTTAATTCAAATATACTACTGGCAAAGTTCATTTGAAAAACTAGTCATAACTGGGGTTGTTAGTGTACTTGGTGCATAGACTGTCCTTGTATTTTGCTTGCGTACTTTACAGATACACTGACACAGAAAGGCTATTGAAAATTCATGGGGATTTTTTTTTTACTATAAACGTGGGATGTTTAAGTGTAGTTATCCGGGAATATATTGTAAAAAAGGGGTTCTATTTACTAGAATTGTGCGTTTTGGGATATTTTAATTTGTGTAATAATCGAGGGAGATATAGGTGTAAACATTCATGTTAACTGGGGTCTCTTTTTACTTAAGGTATAAGTTTTGTACATCTATGTACATGTTGTAATCTGGGAGGATATTAAAATATCATGCTAATTGGAGGGTTCTTTCAACTTCAATTTTAATCTTGGAACATATTGTGAAAACATGGAAATAAAACTGGTATTCAAATAGGTTTGTCTTTTTTCTTTTCTATTTCATGTATCAATTACGTTTGAACACAAATGATTCATTTTACATCAACTTATTTAAGGCATGACCATGTGTTTGGGGTAAAAAGACACGGATTCTGCCCTTTTTGTCTAGTTAACCTAATTATCTGATGATATTTTAAGATATTCTGCACACATTTGAAAATGCCCCGCAATCTTTTTTTTTCATTCTGCAAAGCTTTTCATTTAAATTTTCCCAATTCTGACTCAAAAGACGATAAATCTCTTTAAATAATAATTACCCAGCTAACACATAACGTTTTCGTAACGTTATCAATTTCATTCTGGTAATGGTACCAAATTACATTATGATTACGTTATGCAAACGTTATATGTATTTGTGCAACAAAAAGAATGTCCCAGCTGATAAAAAAGGTTAAGGTAACGTTCTAATACCGTTAGAAAAGATGAAAAACGTTTTTATAAAACGTTACAATGCCATTTACTTGTGAGGTTTTTTAAAAATGTTTTAAAACGTTCTGGAATAGCATTATAATAAGGTGTTAAAATGGTCTTATAGCTAACAAAAGAAACGTTATGATCACGGTAAAACATCTTTGTAGAGAAAGTTATTTTGTGTCGTTTTTGAATGTTTTAATGACTTTCTGAAATAACATTATAACATTGTTTTGAAAACATTTTATTACTTACACGTTAATGTAGTGTTTTAAAAACGTTGTAGAAGAATTAAAATGTTTCTATAAAACGTTATAAAACCGTTATATTGTGGATTTTTTCTAATATTTAAAATATCTTTATAACATTCTGGAATAACATAATAATACTGTTTCGTAAACGTTTTTATAACTAACATAAGCGTTATAAAAAGGATCTTTGAACACGTGGAAAATGTCTCCCTGGAAAGTTTTGAACAGTACTCGATTGCATTTGTGCAATACTTAAAAATGCAAAAATAGAAGCATCTGGCACTGTAGGTATCCAGCGTATTTGTATATTTCAAAATGTAATATATTCCTCAATTGTTATCATTGATCTTAGCAAAGTTGCCACCACGTTTTGATGAAATTTACAAATCACTACGCTTTGTGAACTACACCTACCGGCCAATTTTAAATTCGGGCTAAAGCGGTGCGGATCTTACAACTTTGGAAATTGGATACGTTCCCAAAATAACCGATATGTGATGAAAAGCTTGAATTAACTATTATACTGAATAAATCACCATGTTTCTGATGTTCTTTTGTTCAATCCTTCCAGAAGATTGATAGGACATCAATCTCCCCTGTGACACACACACACACACACACACATATATTACACAGCTATGATAAAAACACTGAATTGTGATGTCATACTTAATGACTGGCTGGGAACTTTCACCCATAACCAGAGTTATCATTTGGATCGCACAGTGTGCTCAAGGCCAAATGTATGGGATAAACATTGAATATATTAAGGAACAATTAATTTATTTATTTATAAATCTTGTTCATTATTATCTTGACCATCATTTAAGTACATTATTTTTGTGAGTTTGGAACAAAATAATAACGCTCTTCTACCCAGTTGTTGCAGTGACCTAAAATTTGCATAACTTTGGACTTTCATGTACAGACACTACAGCTATTCTTAGCTTGGTAAACTGCTCTTCTTTGCTTACCTTTACCCACAATGATGGAGAGTCACCGCTATTGCATAAATTGCACTGGAATCGCATTCACAATGCGTTGTGTAAGGTCCTGCTAGCAGCGTGATTGCATTAGTTGGGCTGTAAGATGTCCTACAGCATTTCAATATGGGCTGCAGTCTTCTTATCTGATAAGTGAACCATTGCGTTAAATTCTAAGGCAATTTGGTGAAAGTCAACTACTACTCACTATAGATGTCCTTTCCAAATGTTCATTCCATGAAATGCATGGGTCTCAAAGAATGTTCAGATTTGCCACCAGACATACACCAACACTGAAAGTCCTTGCACTTTTTATTGAAACAAAGGTATACTAGCAATCTGGATATCATATTCTTGATTCCACCCAGACAATCTGGCAACCTGCTGTAGATGTCTGGGTCTTCATCATATGACATGCTGGCTTTAGCCATTATAAAATGCCTGTTTGTCTCACCTGCTGATAAGGAAAAACTTGGTGAGCGTGCAATTTTTGTAATAACCAGTCTTGTTTGGCTTTTCACATCCTTTGGCTGCTTTTGACCAATAAGACAACTGAAACGCATTTTTTTACGTCTTGGCATATACTTAATTCTTATTGCTGCCTCCACATCTTCAAAATGGTATTTTTGTGTCTTCATCTCTTTATGTATCTCCCTCTCTCTGATTCCCTGCAACCTCTTTATAACCCTTTTTAAGTCCTTAATTAAAGTTTTATATAAACATATATGTATATAGCTGGTCTTTTCTCTCATATTATCATCAATTACTAAAATGTATAACTATAATGAATCAAACAAAAAATTATGTATAAAATGCAACATGCAAAACACCATAATTGAAATGATTTTTTTTTAAATATGGATTTATCTACAATTTCTATCACTGACAGGTATAATGCATTAAACGTAATGCAGCTTCGGAATATTGAATATGTTATATGTAAATAGCATTTACATTTATCTACAAAACACATGAAAAACCTTTATCTATATGAAACAGTCTTTGTCTTACAGAAAAATTCATTGCTCTATCATATGACCAAATCCTCATATACCCACTGTAATTCAAAACTCAGATGTAGAATATCACCGTAATTACAACTACTCCCAGTATACATATACATCTCATTTCTAATATAGGCGAATATTTGTTGTACTTAATATCCTTTATAAGTAATTATGTATTTTGACACATGTATAGTATAGGGGATGTATGATTATCCCCCGTTTTTTTTTTTTTTTTTTTTTTT